AACATCAGGAACTGAATAGTTTTATTTTAAAACATAATTAACTGTCTATATTTTACTGGTCTTGAGAAATACTCTTATATGTAGTGTTGACTTAAAAATTGCATAAAGGGGAGCCAGAAGTTCAAGATTTTCTCAGGAACTCTGAAATATTTTAAATTTCTGACACTTAAATTGACTATTATTAATTATGTAGCTAAGAAAATCAAGAAAAATTTTCTTGTTTCTCAAAGAATTTGTGCGACATATAATGTCAAAATATTTTAAGGGATTGCCTCAGATAGACCTCAATGGTGCTAGGGAAATAAACCAATATTGCCCCATGCCTGATAAATATCACTCAGCTGAAGTAGCAGAGAAGCTAGATCTTCACCAGTCCATGAGATTTAACATCGTATATGTGATGTAATGATTTCCAAATCTATATTCACATCTCCAACTTTTTTCAGGCCACCAGATTTATTATTTAAACTGTCTACTGGGTATCCCATCTTTATTGCACTGTAGTTCCCTCATGTTTAGTATATACCAAACTTAAATCATCACTTCATCTATATATACATTTTGTCTTTTCTATCTTGTCTAATTGCAATGTCGCTCAACTGGAGTGTAAAAAATGTTTCTTGAGGAGATACTGCCATTGTACAGTCTCTTACCTTTATAACTTATAATAGTCTTTGAGAAGACTTACTTATGGCTCTCTTGCCATATTTTTACTCCTTTCTGTTTTCCATGGAGTACAGTCATTATATCCATTACCCTTCAAAATAACATTCAGTCTCCTTAGCACAAGAAAAAGACTTCTCACAAGCCAACCACAACCTTTTTCAATTTCCTTATTGAATGTCATTGCATGCCACGTTGCTTTCTCCACCAATAGGACCTATCATTTTAAAAATATACATAATATTTGATTGTAGGTTTATAGTTTTCTTCAAAAAGCTGTTTTGTCCAGAAACAACAAATGTTGGTGAAGTTGTGAGGAAAAAGGAACTCTCATGCAGGGTTGGCAGGAGTGCAAGCTGGAGCAGCCACTGTGGAAAAGAGTGTGGATGCTCCTCAAAAAATTCAAAACACAGATACCATATGATCCAGTAATTCCACTACTGGGTATTTGCCCAAAGAAAACAAAAAACTAACTTGAAAAGGTGTATGGACCCCTACGATTTTCACAGCATTATTTATAATAGCCAGGATATGGAAGCAGCCCAACCCAACCATAGATGAATGGATACAGAAGCTGTGGTCTACACATATACAATGGAATACTACTCAGCCATAAAGGAAAATGAAATCTTGCCATTTGCCACAACATGAATGGATCTAGAGGGTATAATGCTAAGTGAAATAAGTCAATCAGAGAAAGACAAATACCATATGATTTACTCACATGTGGAATTTAAGAAACAAATGAACAAAGAAAAAAAGACACAAACAAAAAAACAGAATCTTAAATATGGAGAACAAACTGGTGTTTGCCAGAGAGGAGGTGGGTGAAGGGATGGGTGAAATAGGTGAAAGATGAAGAGTCCACTTATCATGATGAGTACTGAGTAATGGATAGAATTGTTGAATCATTGCATCATATACCTGAAAATAATATAACACTGTATAGTAATTATACTTGAATTTAAAAAAAACTTTTTTAAAGCTGTTACATCCGTAATAGTTTCAATTTCTACTATACCTGGAAAATTCATAATCATGTTAATATTCCCAACTCAAAGCCTTCTTATTAAATTCTTTTCCAACTTTCCAATTTATTGTTTTAAAGTGATTCCACTGAGCATTGCTCATGGTTTCAATATAGGGTAGTTTTTGCAGCACATGGCATTGCATTTTGTGTTTACACATTCTGCCGAGGGAACAATGAACTATTCTAGGAAAGGAAATGGGCCCACTCATCTGTTCATCACCAAGATCTGGTTTAATACTAAGCACTCTTCAACACGTATTCCCACGGTGCCCTGTTGTTGTTCCTCTTCTGCGATACTTAACAAGATTATAATGAGTTACTAGTTATTGAGCCTTTGCCCTTCCTGATGGAATGAAAATCCCAAAACTTAAATTCACCTCTTCATTCCTACCATCTACCACAATTCTGGCAGATAGTAGGTACTTAATAAATATGTACTGAATGAATAAGTAAATAGAGTTATTCCTATAGCAGTAAATACCAATAATTCAAATAGTATTGAATATGTCAAATGATGACATAATATCTGTTTTCCATTGCATATGCTTTTGCTTTGCAGAAACCTACTGAGAACTTAGAACATAGTATATTAAATCCATGTCTTTTCATATTCTTACATATGAACATACCCTTTGATGTCATTCAATTTATGATTGTTAAAAGAACTTCTTCCCAGACTTGCTGTCTGAGAAACTCCATGAAAATTAATGACTTTTTCTGAGACTGTATATTCTTATCTGTAAGATGAGATGAAGTAATACATATTTTCTGAGAATTCAATGAGATACTATCACCAACAGCCCCTAGTATACTGCCTGCTACATGGTGAGTACTCAGGAAATACCCTCTCTTGCCTGTAGTTCCTCTCTTCCTTCATCCTTTCTCTCCTTCTTCCCTTCTCCCATGTCCTTCCCCCTTTCCCTCTCTTCCTTTCTTCCTTCCCTTTCTTTTCTTTCTTCCTTCTCTTCTATCCTCCCTTACTACCTTCCTTCATTCTTGTCTCTACTAGAAGGTAAACTGCTTTAGAGAATTGATTCTTATCCATCTTTTGACCTCTAGAGCCTAACACTATTGCTGATACATCACAAGTATTCAATAGATAAGTTTGGATTCATACCTGAAGTCTCTGGGAGAAGAGCCCATTAACCTGTAGACCCCTTTAATCAGACAAAATTATATTTGGGGAAAGAGATATCATAAAAACATGTTAGTCCTGAAGATGAATTAAGACAATTGGGTAAAACATACATTTTTGTTAGCAGTAAATTGCCTTGATTAAAGTTAAGATAAACTGTGTCACTTAATCAGCATAAAAGTTTTACATTTGGAAAAATGCAATTTTTTTTTGTTTTTTAAGATTTTTATTCTGGAGGGGAGGGGGCCTCTCAGTCAGTGGAGGGTATGACTCTTTTTTTTTTAATATTTTTATTTATTTGACAGACAGAGATCACAAGCAGGCAGAGAGAGAGGGAAGCAGTCTCCCCACTGAGCAGAGAGCCCGATGCAGGGCTGGATCCCAGGACCCTGGGATCATGACCTGGGCTGAAAGCAGAGGCTTTAACCCATTGAGCCACCGAGGTGCCCCAGAAAAAATGCAAGTATTTCAGAGAAGTTTCAATCCATTGGATTTATCAGCCATGGGAATAAAGAATTAGTTGCTTGGATCTCTAAGCAATCTGCCTCATGGAGTCGTTTATCTTGAATACTAGTGAGTAAAAGCTGGTGAGCTTTAATTGTTTGGGAAGTTAGTGATTTCATTTATTTTGTGAGTCTGGGGAGTGGAGTGGAAAGAATGTTCCAATAATAAGACTGAGGGGATATCAGAGGTGAAAGTGTTATTCAAAAACAGAGATGAACAATTTGAGGTTCCAGGGGAAATAAATTAATCATAAATCTGGCAGGACAGGTTGAGAATTGAGCATTAGCGCTGAAGCAGAAATTTCAGGGGAGATGGTTTCCTTCACCGGGTTAGAGAAAAGACAGACAAAAACCAAAGTTCTGTATAGAAATGAGGAAGGGAGCAATGTCTCAATTGTACTGAGAGAGCACCAAGGTCAGAGCTTTTGTGAACACACTTCTGCACTGGAGCACAAAGTGTGCTTCACTAGGAACCCTCCCTCTCACGTTCCTGAGGCTTCTTACTACCTCACTACAGCTCCTCATCTGTATACTTGCTATCATTTTTCCCTTTGGATTTGCCCTTGCCCTGTTGCCAGCCAGCCTGGCTGAAACCAGTTCTCTCTTCATGACACAATGTAACATTCTTCAAACCAGATGTTTTAACTCTGGTTAGTAATAAAATATTATTTTTATAAATAATACAAATATTATATATTATATATATTACATATTATATTATATTATATATTATAAATAAAACAAATATTATAAGATATTTGCAATAAAAATATGTTTTAAAAAAAAGGAAAGGAAGTGGGAAAATTAACATATAAGAGACACAGTCAAGAGGTGGTCAGTTTCTTTGGTATGGCTCATTTTCCCTTTAGAAACATTTTACGATCAAAATTATGATAAAACCCCTCCTCCTTCTTTTTTTTTTTTTTTTTTGGCCAAGAAGTGATCAGTAGGTGTGTACACAGTCACACATAAATTTATTACTTTTTATTTATTTGTTTTTATTATATTTAGGGTAGAAAAGGATACTGAACATTGTAAAGAAAATCTTCCTGAGAAAATCATAGTAAAAGTTGACTGCATATCAACATTGTAAATGTTGTATTCTGTATTAGGAATTTATAAAAGAACAACAGTTTCAATTATCTGTAAAATGAGCCTATATTGAGATATCTAATTGCATCTGTGTTTTGACAATATCAGATACACTACTTTTCTCAGCAGCCTGAAAAATTTACCTTTTGACAATTGGGATGGTAATAGCTCTTTGAAGAGGTATTTTTCTTATTAATGCTTTTGATACTGCAGTCAGCCCTGGAACGGAAATGCTGAATTAAACTAATGAACTCCCACGTGTCACACAACAGCTTTCTTTGTTTTCTCTTTCTTCCTGTACAACCTGTGCTGCTGATTCCAAAAGCAGAAAGCTTTTGAAAGCATCCAGTGAACTTGAGAAGGAAGTTTTATACAAAATGACAACATCCCTCCCCATACACACCGCCCAGCCAAGTAATGAGAGAGGCCATTTAATTGTGATTGGTGGGTCCCTGTGACTTTTTCCAAAACGTATCTGATCCTTCGTTGACTTTAAAAGCAAAGAGGTACAGAGAGAGGCAGAGTAGAAGGAAGAAAAGAAAGTGGATAGTTGGGGCAGCTAACATCTACTAAGAAAAAAAGAGAGAGATTAAATATTTACCTTGAAGTCTTTATGATTCAGACGCTGGGATAAGATGGAGCCCATCATTTTTCTGAGCACCTTTTTGCTTCATTTTGCTGTTTCTGTGGCTTCAGAACCGTAAGGAAATGTTATATCCTTTATTCTTACTATAGTACTAGCAAAGTGACCTTATTAAATGCATTCTATGTTAAAATTTGACTGTAGTTCACCATTTCAACTTCTGAGACTGAGTGCTGGTTTGCCTTATAAATTTTGAACAAGTGTAAGAAGGGAATTGACATCTTTTTCTTAAGATAACCCTCTCTGCATACTCAAGTTTTTATATGTAATACCATGAAAATATTTCAGGAATATTTCAATAAGCCAAAATTGTTTTTATGTTTTGCATTTCGGCTACACTTGTTTAAAGTGTTGATCACTTTCTTTGTGTAGACAGTATATATTATGGGTCTCCTCCGTGATCCAGAGTCATTCTGCCGAAAAGGCTTGTCTCCACCTTTCAAATCTCAATGAATCTGTATCCTTGAGTGTCGTCTTAGAATCTGATGGCTACAATACCACTATTTTTGACCAGTCTGTGAAAGAAGATAACTTTTATGCTTGTGCAGATTTCCAGGTGAGGCACTAGATTTGCCCCTTCTTATTTTCTGTTAGGGTGATGAAATTATGACATAAAAATCATTTTAGGAGAGATAAATCTTGATTTGGGATGAATTGTGGAAGCTAGGGAGTGGAATTAGAGAGTTCCTGAGAGGAACCCATGCAACAAAATTTGTGAAATATTGCCATTTTTCTTTCACAGGAAGTGATAATGAAATGCAATCACTTCTTTTTAGATACAACTATTTAACAATATGAGAAAAGAGAATCCAGATAGAGAGAAGCAAGACTGGGACTCAGGGCAATGAAAAAAGAAAACAGAAGATTAGCAGGCATAAAAATAAGTTTATTAGAAACTGCCCTAATGCTATTTAAATAAAAGAATTGTAAAAAGTGGTGTCCATATCTCCCATTAAGAAATAATTTATTCTCTGGAGGCTCTCAGCTTGAGAAACCAAATTAAGACATTGTTTACAAGCTTGATGTCTAAAAATTGTTTTCCCATTCTCTGCTCTGTAACATAAACAGGTTTCTCAGAAGTCATCTGAGCAGTTGGCTTTTGTGACATTGCTGGCTAAGGGAGAGACGCTTAGAATCTTCGAGAGGAGATCTGTAGCACTCACTTCAGAGGACACAGTAACTTTTATGCAAACAGATAAACCCATCTACAAACCTGGAGAGAATGGTAAGTCAGTGTTCGTGTTTCCTTCTTATCACTGGCCTCAGGAGTACATCCTTCAGATTGAGAGCAATCCAAACACATGAATGTCAGTCTTCAATTTAAAATGTTATGGGATCAGGATGCCTGGGTGGCTCAGCTGATGGGGCTCCCTGCTCAGCAAGGAGGCTACTTCTTCCTCTCAATCTTCCTGCTGCTTCCCCTGATTGTGCCCTCTCTCCTGCACGCGTGCTCTCTCTCTGCAAATAAATAAAATCTTGGTGGTGGGTATTATGGAGGGCATATATTGCATGGAGCACTGGGTGTGGTGTGTAAACAATGAATTCTGTTACACTGAAATGAAATTAAATAAAAAAATAATTAATTAATTAAAGTTACGGGATTGTGGATTTCTTGAATTTCCACTGGTTGTCTAGATCAGTTATGAAACAGTTTCCTCCAACTCCATTAACTGAATGCTTCACTTCTTCAACTCACGCATGCCACTTTCGCTGCTTAAAAATTCTAATGACAGACTTCCGTAACACAATCACTTCCGTAATCCATGGGACGTGGAACAAAATTATTTGGTTTCATTTGTTTCTCCATAATTTACCAATTGGGCAAGCTAATTAAACCTGTGTTTAAACTCATTTCTTTTCCTCTTTAGAATAGAGATACTAAAAATGACTCACTTGCAGAAATATTGTGAGAATAAAATAAGATAGTCAATGTAAAGTAGTACCTAGCACCCAATAAAGACTCTGCAAATGATATTATTAATTATTATTATTATTCATGCCAGTAGAAATAATCACAAATCTGATAACCTAAGCAGAGTCGTTCTAATTTTCTTTATTATTGCATTAAGTAAAAGGCAGCAGAAAAAACACCAAACTAGGATTCTGAAGGATGTGGTCTTTGTTTTGAGTTTGTTGATAAATTATTGGGTTTTGTCAAGTAAATTCAGCTCTTTGAGACCTTCAGTTTTCTCATTTGTAAAATTAGGGGGTTGGATGACAGCATCTATGTATTATCTTCTAAAATTATGTACTCGTATGATTAATTTAAAAGAAATAAAAGAGTTAAAACAGAATTCATATTGTGAGTTTTTTTGCTGCATTGCATTCTATAGGCTTGTTAAAATGCTTTGATGACAGTTATTATACAAAGGTAGTTAAAATGGTCTTTCTGGAATTCTGCTGAAATTAATTTAATGTTCGCTAACATTAATAAATTTTCCAAGAAAATTATAGGAGGAATGTAACTTCTACTATATATATTTCACATTTGTCTCTCTATGATTAATTCCAGCACCAATTTTTAAGGTATCCCTGTGGGTCATTAGGGTAGAAGTTTCTGGTGGTGGCAGCAGCTAGTGTCAGCTTTGGTAATAATAACAAAGCAATTGACAACAGAGGAATTACAAATGTATTAATAAGAGATCATCCCAAATAGAACCCAAATTTCAGAGGGTCAAGTGAGAGCTAGGGGAGAAGGGAGTATAGCATTCTGTAATAGCAAGGTAATTAATTTCTATATCTATTTATAAGCAATCATACCTGGAAAGGAAATAATAAGAAAAAATATTGTCCCCTCTTCCTCTTTTCTTTTAGTTCAAATTCGCATTGTGACACTGGATACCAAGTTCAGACCTGTTGAGGATTTGGTGAGTTCAATAATTGCGAATGGTACAATGAAATTGAAGCAAATTAAACAAATCCATTGCTGTGTAAAGTGTCATCAGAAAGTTTTCCATAAGTACACAAATCAGTTCTAGCATGGAATGCTATACAGGTATACTTTCAATACTGACCACCAAATTTAAAACTTCCCTCTATAGTGAGCTAACTGATACTTTTTTTAGGTCTTCTTATAATATAAGGGGGAAAATGGGTTGCATGGAACCTGCTTTCGACTTCCTGGTGAAGGTCAGGCTCTCCTTAGCATTTGGGGTTTTCTTGGCATGCTTCATTGTAGAAATTTTGTCTACAAAAAAACACTATTACAATATTAACCTGCATTTTTTTTTTCTTTTCAGTATCCATTGATCACACTTCAGGTAAGCGATCTGCTTTATCACAATTTCTCAAGATTATTTTCTGAAAGCACTAGCTTTTTATTTTTTTAATTTTATTTATTTTTTTATTATGTTATGTTAGTCACCATACCATAAAACATCATTAGTTTTTGATGTAGTGTTCCAAGATTCATTGTTTGTGTATAACAGCCAGTGATCCATGCAATCTGTGCCCTCCTTAATATCCACCACTGGGCTCACCCATCACCCCACTCCCCTCCCCTCCAAAACCCTCAGTTTGTTTCTCAGAGTCCACAGCCTTTCATGGTTCATCTACCCCTCTGATCTCCTCCCCTTCATTTTTCCCTTCCTTCTTCAAATGTCCTCCATGCTACTCCTTATGTTCCACAAGTAAGTGAATATTTTCTGAAAGCACTCATTTTTTAAATATTCAGATAAATTCCATGTAGTTAGAAATTAAGATAACTGAAATAAGGAGAAGAAAAATCTTTATCTACATACGCGGTGTAAGGCATCAGATGAAGATGTAAATGAAGGGTGGCCATGTTTAGTGGAGGTCCTGTGTGGCAAGCACCATAATGAGTTTTCATGGAAAATGAAAGATTGGGCTCCTTCTAAGGGAGGTTTATATTTAAAATTGCTTGGTTTGGGCTACTGGCTCTTTTCGATCTTAATTTAATCACATCTTATCTTAAGGAAATAGAAAACCTAAACGTGTAAAGATTTGAAATGTTAGGTGATATTATTACAAAATGGACGCTTTGCTTTCAAATCTGTATTGCAGTGTGACTTTCAAACTCATTTCAAATCTCATGTCTGTCAGTAAATCATTTGTATCAATCAACTCCAACATAAGCATTTTAATTTCTATGTGTAATATGTACCATTACTATTAACTCAGTCTAAATGTTGTTACATTGAGATCATCATTAATGAACATGTATGTAAATGCCTACTTCAAATAGGCTTCTTTATAATTTGAATTTTTTTGACTCTGTTATATGGGTGGCAAATAGTTCATCCTTCTAGTAGGATAAATAACAAGTTGGCCATTTTCATACGTCATTAGTAATCCATGAATAGTACTATCTTCAGATCCTAAATCAGCTAGGGTCTGTTCCACTGTAAGCAATAGAAAGCTTAACTAACATTGGCTTCAGAGAGTAAAAGGTTTATTGTTTTCACAAACTGCTATGTCTAAGTGTAGGTGCTTTGGGATGGGGACGGTAACAGCATAATATTACCAAGGATCCAGGCTTCTTCTACTTAACCTCCCTGCCATCCTCTGTGCATTGTTTTATTCTCAATACCAGCTGCATCTGATTTTTGTAGAAATAATCTCCCAGTGACTTCTACTTATATTCAGTTGGCCAACACTTGGTCATATGGGCAATCCTTACTGAAAGGCCGCATGGAAAATTAATTTAGTTTTCTAGACTTAATCATAGAGGAAAGGAAAAAGAATTAAAACTAAGTGAGTAGCAAATACTATTTTTGATTCTTTGTAGAAAACTTTTTATCAGGAGTTCTTTACTCACAACTGGATGATATCAACAAACTTATGGAACCAGGCTCACATAAGTTGCAGTATACTAAAAGCAAATAAAGGAGAAAGGGTGGCATTATCTATCTTCCTTTTTCCTTGTGTCAGTCCTTTCTTATTGTAGAACTTCCATTGAACCACTGTTGCATGCAGTGTGAAAATTCATGACCAATTTACTTACCAAATGAACACCACAGACAACCTGTACAACTATCTGTGAGGATAAATACCTCCTTATGCATCTGTTGGTGTGGGTCTACTCTACTTTGGAAAACACTCCACTGGAGCAGACACACTGAGTTTTAAATTTTTTAACTTTGCAGCTCTGGTTCAGGAAGATAAAAATTCAAAGCACTCATTACAGGTTATTGTTCTTATCTTTTGGGGGCTTACTAGAGATATACTAGATCAGTTGAATATTAATATTAATTAAATTTGAGTCCTTGAGAAAGTTATGTTATTTTTACAGTATGAGATATCAGTTCAATAAAATGGTAGTTTTCTTTATTTACAATAACTACAGAACATACCCAAAATAAAGAAGGAAAGACTAATATTCTGTATGACCTCTGATTTTATTTCTTCTTTATTTCCAGGATCCTCAAAACAATAGAATTTTTCAATGGCAAAATGTGACCTCTTCTCAAAATATCACCCAAATCTCCTTCCAACTGATTTCAGAACCAATGTTTGGAGATTACTCTGTTTTTGTGAGAAGAAAATCAGGAAATACGTTGACACACCAATTTACTGTTGATAGATATGGTAACCAACTACTGCCTGGTTGTTCTGAGTAAATGTAGAGCTCAAAGGACTCAACAAAACAATTTTTATGTTAGATTTAAGCAAAAGTCAATGAGGCTTGATTTAGTTTTCTGTCATTTTCCTTTCTTGGGGTTTTCTGCTTTATCATCTTTCTTTTCTTGTTCCTCACTCCTGGTCCCATCGCCTGATTCTAACCTCTGACTCTTCTACCAAGGAAATATCTTCTACAATCCAGACAATCTTCTACATGATGTAAAAGATTACAATAAATAAAATGTGATGTTCTGAGAGCAGGAAAGAGAAAGGAAAGACACTATCACTTACACAGAATTTGGGGCAGTTGAATTGTGGTTTATATTGATGCATACATAGGACAGTGTTGTGCACAGAGGTGTACTTAGTTACATGATTGCTCTAAGTTTTTCTCACCAGTGATTGTAGGAACTGAAGTCTGTTTCTTTGTATTTCCAGTGTTGCCCAAGTTTGAAGTTAAGGTCAGTGCACCACAAACAATAACTATTTCGGATGATGAATTCCAAGTGAATGTATGTGCTAAGTAAGTATTAAGGAAATTTGACTACACAGGTCAATACAAAGCTCAGAAAGAATGAGAAATAAAATTAACCATGTAACTTTAATTACTTATTTGCTTACATTAAGATTATTAGAGAAATAATGATTTTCATTGTAAAATATTTGAAAGAGATAAGGAAAAATATAAGAAATTACATATAATTAATTCTAACCAATTGCCATTTGCGTTGCGATTTATTTTCTTCCAAACTTTTGTGAATATTTTGCATAACTGCAATCATACTTTTCTACCCATTGTAATTAAGAAAACATGTCTTCATACTCAGCCACACTTTCATAAATCCTAATTCCTTGCTGCATAAACATATCTCTATATGGTCATACAAAATTAACACTTCTTTTATTATATAACACATAAGAAATTTGATTTTGTTTTCCCAGTAACAAATACTATTATAGCCTATGTCTTTGTGTATAAGTGTATAAGAACTTCTGAATTAAAAAATATTTACTTAATAAAGATGTCCAGTATTGGAATTATCAAAACAAAATGTATATGCTCTTTCAGGTTTTGATTGCCATATTACCCACTAAATACGTTGTGTCAGCGTTCAATTCTAACAACTGATACAGAAGTACCTGCCTCATTAAATCATCACCATAATTGGAGTTTTCATTTAAAAAATAAATGAAAGAAAAGAAACTCTTGAAAATGTCATAGTGGGGAAAAAGATATTTTATCAATTTAATTAGGATGAATTTGAATCCTCTTAATGTGAAAAGAATTCCTACATGATTTGAGAAATTTTCATTTTCTTTTTGAGAACTTGTTTCTAATGTCTTATATTTTTTTAAAAGTGAGATGTCTTTTCTCAAATTTCTGATAATAATTAATATAGTTACTATTTACTGAATGCTGATTACTGCATTGAGCATTGCATTCATTATAGTCTTACCACAGTGCTACATCAAAAGCTATTATCATCTCTATTTTAGAAAGAAAGATAATAAGATACAGAGAACTGAAATAATTTATCACTTAGTGGAGCTTTTGGATAGCAGACCTAGCACTGGATTTAGACAAATGCTATTTGGCTTCAGAGGTATTCTTCTAACCAAAACCTCTGTTATAATTTATGTAAACAATTAAAAATGTAATATTTGATGTATTTGTTTAAACTGTTTATTTAACTGAGGACATGGAAATTATTTGCTTTTGAGCATTTTCAAAGTATTTAAAATTTTTTTTAGTGTTTTTAAATTATTTTGAGACTATTCAAAGTATTTTAAGGACATATTGGGTAAAAGGCTGACACTTTTTACAATGTCCTTTGGACTCTAGGAAAATCATAACAATATTTTTCTTGTTGTTGTTTCAGGGAAGAGTAGCTGACATGTGCCAGAATTTCATAAATGTAATATATGAGAGGTGGAGGTTACATGTGTTAAAAATAAGGGAATAATCAATATAAGCTTCAAAATATCCAGGGTCTTAACCTAATTTTACTAGTAAAACCCTACCAGAAGCCAGAATTAATGAGATTAACACCTGTAATTAATCTTCCCATTGTTATGCTAAAAAAGTACAAACTACGTATCAGGAGAGCCAACATATTTATCAAGTAACGCCTTCATAAGAGACGTACTAAGCTAAATGCTGATACAGAATTGAGACTTCTTGACTCTTCTTTAACATTACATTCCACTTAAATTTGACATTAAAGAGTATGTCAGTATCAGCAGTAATGATATCCTACAGAAGCTCTGCTGGCTATAAGGCTATTTCTGGGCAGGCTGCAGGAACAGGAGGAATGAAACCAGGATGTCCAGGAGTGAACAGGAGTGAACGAGTTGCCTCCTTCAGGTTGTATGTACTGTGCTCTGCGCATTGTTTCTTTAGTATTCCCTGGGACTTAACTTGGGACAGCTAAAAACAATAGCAAATCAGATTATTTTAGCCAACAACTTCCAAGATGAATTGAGCTTTTAGAAGGGAAGAAAACTTGACTACAGGCAAAGGCATTTTAATAAACTGCATTAGTATCCACCAAAAACTTTTCAAATCACAAAGGGGTAATATTTATTCTTTCTGATCTGTTTAAAAATTTGAGCTACATATTTCATGAGCCTGTGTTAACCCATAGATAACACTACAGTGAGAGTTTTCTTTTATAAGCAAAAGACAGTAAGAATAACTATAACACATGTGCAGGTAGAACATTTGTGCCCTGATCTTAGTTTTCCCTCTATTTTGCATGTAATTGATATTTACAGCTCACAGATGATTTTAGTGATTTAGGTTGAGTCTCAGAAGCATTGAGAATTTTTAAATAGAGAAAAGCCAATTAGTGGAATGTGAAGAGCATGGGCTATGGGAAGTGAGGAAGATGGAATAGAATATGGAATTTCAATTCCACATCTTACAATGTAGAGAAGTGCGTTGCCTGATCTCACTTCACTAAACTGCACAATGAGATAATACATCTCCATCTCAGGATCACTTAAGAAAATAAATGAGATAATCTATGTAAACATCAGGTATATACGAGTGTCCAACAATTAGGAAAAAATATTATAATTGGTAAATGGAATTATATTCAGTTTTACTATTCACTAATCTCACATTTATTAACTGTTTTTCTAAACCTTAGTGGAAACAATCCTCAAGTAACAAAAAAACTCAAATCAACTGTATTTGCCTTTGACTGAAACTTTAAAAAAAACTTGTGTTGTAGTTTTTTGTGTGTTTTAGGAGAAAGTGAGATATTTATTTAACCCTACCCCTAAGACGTTATGTGTTTCATCAAAGTTTATCTGGTTTATGCCAATCTCCATACCTTCTACATTTATAGAATGCACAATGAGAATTGTTTACAGTATTGACCTAGAAGTATTCTAAGATCCTGAATAATTCACATGTTACTTATATGCATATATATTTTCTGCTAAAGAAAAAAGTGCTGCACATTTTATAATTTTTCTAACAGACTAAAATATAATTTTTAAAAAATCAATTTAATCATTAAATTTGATTTACTGAGATTTTAGGTTCTACATTACCTTGAATTTGATTTTTTGTTGTTGTTGTTGTTCTTTCTTTCTCTTTTTTAAAGTAAGCTCTGGACCCAACATGGGGTTTGAACTCAGGACCCTGAGAACAGGAGTCACATGTTCTACCAGCCGAGCCAGCCAGGTGCCCCCTGAGTTTGATTTGTTAAAAAGCAGCTGAATCCTCATAACAAAATCATGTGCCTAATTTAACCCAAATTCCGTGGTGAAGATAGCACTAATAGATGAGGATTGCAATTGAATTTGGTCATTGGAGTAGTCCTAGATTACAGATTTCATATATAATTTCTGAAGAAGCCCATCAAATACTCCCATGGTATTGTTCATCTGTAATTATGTATACTTCCTCCTACCAGGTACACGTACGGCCAGCCTGTGCAAGGAAAAGCCCAAATCCGGGTGTGCAGGGAATTTTTTTCCTCTGGGAATTGTGAGAACAATGAAATATGTGAACAGTTTATTGCACAGGTACAGATCATCATGTTTATTTTAAAAAAATGATCTTGTTCATTTCATTCTGTAGAGAAGGAAAAATTCTCCCTCTACCCTTCATGGTCTTCCACTGGACAAAGAATTTAATTTACATGAAGCAGGTTAACAGGAGGGAAAAGAAAAAAAAAAAAACAGTTTTATTAGGTGCACATGGAGGTCCCATAATGAAACTGAGATCTAATAAAGTGACCAAGACAGGTAGTTTTTAGACAATAAATTTGTGAGGAATTGACAGGATAAAGAAAACAGATGTTTGGGAGCTTTTAATTAGTAAGGAATTTTAATCGGAATTTGGTCTGAAGTAGTAGATTAGAAAGAAAGTAATAAGGTTTGTTTCTATAGCTTTCTTCGCTTCAAAGTCTGTTCTCTCTAGGGGTAAGAATGTCTTTTTACATTTTAGTGTGGTGGCCATGCCTTTCATATAGGAGATCTGTTTCCTGCTTTCACAGGAACCAACGAGGGTCTGCGTGTCCTCACACTGGCTGTTTCTTAAGAAACTTTTATTTAAAATTATCAATATGCCAAAGTGGCACGTTTGGGGAAGCCTGCCCTCGGCCTCTACAATTTCATTTGTAAGAGGGACTTAACAACACTATTTTCATTTTGCAGATAATGGGGGTTTCAACTAGATAAAGTGAAGAATGAAGAGCAAGTACAACATCCTCCAATAGTCTCTTATTCTCTAGGCCATGTAGATTGTTACCCACCGATGGATTCATAGAATTGTCAAATGTGAACAATCTTATTGGCTTTTCTTGCTTTATATACTGTCTACTGACCTCTCTGATCTTTCTGTGTGGAATCATTAGTTATCTGTTAAATAAATGAATCCCTGATCATAACCACCATGAAACTTAGAACTGTCCTTGTGGAAAAAGTTCATTTGCAAACACCTGCAATTCAGAGTATCTACTTCTATTACTTTAGATTTGAGGTTCATTTGTGAAGGCATGCTTTGTTTTCCCAATCTGTAGCATCTTCACATAAGTAAACAATTCTGCCCATTTCTTTGAGAAGCAACTTTGGACTTTGAACATAAAATCTGTATACAGTTCAGTTTATAATTTAAGTCTGATTGTCCTGAAGTTACTCACCAAAGTGATGAACATTCTTTAGGTAAATATCAATATTTGGTCAGGACAAGCAGAAATCTTTTAGATAGGAATGCAGGTGAAGAAAGGCTGAGTGTAATTCTTCCACATACACAGCACATTTTCCCATGGTGTGATTATAATGTACATTAATTAACTATTTTACCAAGTGATAGGTGTTTTCTTGGCTAATGCCTTTTTTCCCCCGTTGTGAAAATAGAGCAGTAAATAATCTGCTAAAACTATCATCTGAGTTGTTTTACTTATTTGATATAGATTCCTTGGGGTGGGTTCCATGAGTTAAAGTAGATAGATGACAGATCGATAGATAGATACAATTATATATACATACAATTTCAATTTTAAAAAATATTATATTATTGTCCAAAAAGTTTTTAAGCATTCAAATTCTTGTCAGCAACATGTGACAACACTATATTTCCCAAATTACTGTCATCTGCATATGTATAGCAGTTTTTAAAATGTTGTCATTTTGATAGAAATTTATTTTGTTTTAATTGCCTTACTCATGAGTTTGAGCATATTTTCATATTCTTGTTATCAGTTTGAGTTTGTTCTTTTAAAAACTCTTAATTATCCATTTTTCCTATTCATGTGAAATTGAAACTTTCTTTTATTATAAATATTAACCTCCATCCTCTAAGCAAATCTTTTAAGGTTGTTATTTAAATACCAACATTGGCTGTGTTATTTTTGAAATATCAAAGTTCCTAATGTTTATAAGTTCTCGGCCTTAGAAAAAGTTCTCATCTACCACCGTGTTGTATATACAACAATAAAGCACTTTAAGATTTTAAACATTTCTCTAATCAACATAAAATAGTTTAGATTATATTCTAAAATAAAACATTTTGTTTTCTTCCCAATGGATGTTCAGTTGTATTATCACCTAATCTTATACAACTTTGCTCTCCCTCTTTATTCTACATCATGCTCATAAAAGTTTTATCTATTTTATTGGCCTTTCTTTGACTTTAGCTTTATTATTTTCTTTCTGATATTATTTTTGTGTTCCTAAATCATTTATTTTTATTTTCAACATATTCATTCTTTTCTCTAAAATTTCATTTTGTTGGTTTTAAAAAACGTCAGTTCTTTCTTTTTGTTAAAAACACGTTGTGTGGGGCTCCTGGGTGGCTCAGTCAGGTAAGCCTCAGACTCTGATTTCAGCTTAGGTTTCATGACCCCAGGGTCCTGGGATTGAGCCACATGGGGCACCCTCTTCAGAGGAAGGTCTGCTTCTCCCTTTCCTTCTGTCCCTCTTCTCTGCTCATGCTCTCTCTCTCACTCTCTCTCTCTCAAACTAAAAAAAAAAAAAAAAAAAAAACAAAACTTTTAAAAAAACACATACACATACACTGTGTTTTACTTTTTCCTTTAACCATAGCTTAATACCATAGATTTTCATGCAAAGCACTTTTTTTCTTGGTATTAATGTTGAGATTCTTATCTCTTTGTCTCAGGGATTACTGAAAAATATTTTATCTTAGTTTCAAGGCACTTAAGATTCTTCTGATGACATTTTATATTTCTTTTTAATTTGAATTGTAAATATATGAAGTAAAATTATCTTTTTTATTATTAACATTATAGTTGATAATTTAGAGGAGCACATATTCTCGGATCAGAATTCCTAGCTACCACTTTCTATTTGTGTGACCTTGGGCAGATTATATAACCTACCTCTATTTTAATTTATTTATCCTTATAGTGGAGGTCTAGCTCATATGGTAGTTTTGAGAATCAAATGAATTGCTATATCCCTCTAACATTTTAAATTTAGAATTAATAGATGCTGTTTATTTTACAATATAATTAAATCTATATTTCTCTGATTCTTGATGTCACTAATGAAAGATTATCTATAGATTTTTCCTTATTTTAAATGAACAGTTTACCTTAAAAAGTGTTTTGATGTTACACACTTGAAGACTCAAAATGATTTTAATCTCTAATTCTTAAAATATCATTCAGTTCGAGACTCATTCTTTAATTTGTTTCCATCCGCATTGTTTTCAGTAGATTATCCCTGAAATCTATAAAAAATACATTACCTCCTTAACTTGCTTTAGTTGCTGATGAACTCCCACCCCTTCTTTTGTAATTCTTGGTCATTCAACAAGTTTATGGGGTGGTGTGAGGGAGTTAGAAATCTGTGCTAAAACTTTACATCCTTTTAAGACTTTTAATCCCTAATCTTTTCATTATACCTTGTTTTCATTTTTCAGTTGAGAAACGGTTGTGACACTCAAACTGTAAACACAAAAGTCTTTCAACTCTACCGTTCAGAATTTTTCATGTCATTTCATATCACTGCAACGGTTACGGAATTTGGGACAGGTAACATCCACATTTTATGGGCAACCTGGGGATATATGCAGCTTACTGGAGAGACGTTTATCGAGTTAGCAATACTCACCAAATAGAGATCATTCATTCTTCAACATTGTCAAGTAGAGTATATTTGTCAATAAGTCAAACTGAAGGTTGCTTTTGAAAAGACTTTCTACGTAATATGTAAAATAAACAAATTATGTAAATTCTACATATTTATATCTGCTTCTGTGCCTGCATCAATCAGAACAAGGAAGTTTCTCCTAAAGTAGTAGAGCTAAGCTAATAAATTATGGATCTCTCTTTAACTTTGTGAAAATCAGTTGATAAACAATTGCCAGGGTCTAGTCTTTGATTTAATGCAGGAGATCACAATTTATATCTAGAAAGTCAAATCCAGCTCCATACTTACTGATGTGAAGTTTACTTTACATATGTTTTACATATGTTTACTTTACATATGTTAACCTTGCTTAAGAGCTATAGTTACAAGATTGAATAGCTGTGGACCTTGTGGTGCAAAGCTTAGAATAATAACTATGAGATCATCTTCACAGAGAAAGTTTGTCAACCTCTAATTTGATACAAATGGAGACAGTGGCAAGTGTAAAATATTAATGAGACATTTACATGTAATAAGTGCTCAATAAATAAAGAATGGAAAAGAAAAAGGGGGAAGTGAAAATTAATTTGGGATGGAGAAAACCAGATTCAATTACTAATTATTTCTTGTTATTTAAAAATGATTAGGATAATATTATTTATAAAGTGCTTTATAGAAATGTACTTGATCAATAGTGTATGACATTCATTATGGATGTTTGTCACATTCATATTATAACTTAGCTAGATATGTTTACCTCTGCTTACCACATAGTTTGCTGATACCATAGTGCATTTTTATTTACTTTGCTTTCAGGTATTGTTCTTATCCGGCAAAAGTCTAAAAGCATAGTTATCTGGTAGGCTAAGGAAAGGTTTAAAGGAAGGGAAAACTTTATTCTTGAGATATCTGTGAGATTGTGTCATAAAAGGAGTTATAAGCCAGAACTGAGTAGAATGGTGAGAGGAAGAAAATTAAAAGCATTTTCTCCTGCTTCTGATTCAAATACTTTCATTATTCAGTTTGATGTATACTATAACTACATAGATATGGAGCATTCTGGAACATGCTCCAAAGCACCCACATCTCCCTTTCAATGTAGAACAAGAATGTAATTCTGTATACAGAAGTTTGCCATGTCCTTTAAGCTGTTCTTTCGAGAGTCTTGATCGAACAATTATCCTCCCTCACACTATTTTTCACTTCTTACAGGTGTGCAAATCAGTGAAAGAGCTTCTACTTTTATCACTCAATTGCTTGGGAGTGTGAGCTTTGAGAACATGGATCCTTTCTATAGAAGAGGAATTTCTTATTTTGGAACTGTAGGTCTAACTTAAAAATACATGTTCTCTTTTCATTTTCAGGGATCATGGATTGCCCTTTGAAAGTTTCTGGAGATATTTTTCCTATTTTCATAACACATTTGTAGCCTTACTGCATCTGATAGATGAAGAAAAAGTCCCAGGGAAAAAGAAAGCAATAGATAAAATTGTATCTGTTTCCATTTTATGTATCTTTTAATAAAACACCTTTCTGGAATTTCATAAAATTACAAGTCAATAACCACATTAAGGAATAGAAAAATTCCTTCTCTGTAGAAATGTGATGTTTGAGTTTTAAAACTTAATTTTATTTATTTATTTTTTTTTTTGCACAGCTTAAATTTTCCGGTCCTAATAATGTGCCGATGGCGGACAAGTTATTGCAATTGAAGCTCAATGACAGAATTATAGGAAACTACACCACAGATGAGAATGGGGAAGCTCCTTTCTCTATTGACACTTCAGATATATTCGATCAGGCGTTCAACCTGAAAGTAAGACATCAAAAGTAGACAGGATCCCACAACGTATTTGAGTGTTAGGGATTTTGAACATTAGGAATCGCTTAAAAGATTATTTGTATTAAGAATATATTTTAGGGGTGCCTGGGTGGCCCAGTCAGTTAAGCATCAGACTCTTGGTTTTGGCTGAGGTCATGGTCTCAGGGTCATGAAACAGAGCCCCCTCGGGCTCTGTAGTCAGTGTGAAGTTTGCTTAAGACTCTCTGTCCCTCTCCCTCTGCCCCTCCCCACTCTCTAAAAATAGATAAGTAAATCTTTTTTAAAAAGTATCTTAACAAAGTTTTAAAATTTAAAGTATTTTATATGTTTGTTCATTCATTAAATTATATGTGAGAATACTTATTCCAGAAGATGTTGTTATAAAATCTCTACCAACCAATAGTTTCCTCTGAGAAACTAGAGAGAGTTCATGCAGTTGAGTTGTTTTTTCCCCCCTTTGATCATTTGATGCATAGATAGGGAAGTACTATGATGTCTATTTTTCTGCTTCTTTCTTTTTTTTCCCCCCATTTTTTAAATTAACATATAAAGTATATTTTCCCCTGGGGTCCAGGTCTGTGAATCATCAGGCTTACACATTTCACAGCACTCACCACAGCACCTACCCTCCCCAATATTTTTCTGCATCTTAAACAGAATTTTGGAGTTAAACAATTTGTCCATGCACATAGATAGCTAAAAGACACAGGGTGTAAAGCTGTCCCCTGACTTCAATTATAAAGTTAAAAAAAAAATCAGCATAGGCCTAATAAAATATACATACAATTGTGGTCATGTTTTATATACAAAAAAGAAGGAAGTGTTATTATTATTTTACTCCCAATAACTTGATATTTGAAACGTCACCCACAAGCTAAGATTCCTCCCTACTTTGAAGAGTTAAGAAGCCTTCCATTCTGAAATAATCCCGGTCTTTAAAGGTCTTTATTTCCCTAAGATCCTTTGCTTTCCTTTTCTTATCAGGCCACATACCTTCGACCTATGAGCTGCCATCCCTCCAGCTGGCTAACACCTGAGTATGTGGATGCTCATTTCTCAGTTTCACGCTTTTACTCCCGAACCAATAGCTTCCTGAAGATTGTTCCTGAGCCAAAGCAGCTTAGATGCAATCAACAGAAAATTGTTACCGTGCATTACTCCCTAAACAGGGAAGCATATAGGGATGATTCAAGTATCAACTTTTTTTATTTGGTAAGTCTCAGTTGATGGATCCTTGGGTCTTGTCTAGTTGTCTGCCTAGCACAGGGCAGGTTGGAAAGGGTATGTCCATCATCCCGTGGCATCTGAGTGAGTTGACCTTCTCACTTTGCTGGGAATGATATTGGAGCTATTAAGAACAAACAGAAACTAGTAAATGAACCTCTAAACATAAGCCAACAAACACATAAAAAGATCCAAGGCAATTTCAATTTCCCTAAGGTTGAAAACTTGCTATTCAGGTCTACAATTTTAATCATTTGATTATAACTTATACCAAGCATTTATGATCCTTCATGAGACTGCAACGTTAGGTGGATACCAGAGAGTAAGGCACAAGGCTGCTCATTTTGATAAGCAGTAAAAGGAATTCGCTTTTTTGGTTCTTTCCCCATATTTATCCATTCTGTCCTTATATAGCATATTGAAAGGTAGACGAGATAGACTTTTCCACCCCCAAAGATGCCTCCATTTTACAAATAAGGTAACGGTGGTGAAGAAGTGAAATGACTTGGCTTATCCAACGCCAGACAGTCTAAATAATTCAGAGATCTGTAAACGCCCTTGCACAGTACACTGTGTATCATTAATGAAGTTTCTAACACATAATGGGCTTTCAATTAATCATAGTTTCTGTGTCCTTTTCCAAGTTGTACAGAGTCTACGTTTCACACTTGTTCACAGAAACTACCGTCTCTTGGGAGTAGAATTCTCATTAAGCCATTAATTATCCATTTTTAATATGTGTGAATTGGGTGATGCTACTCATTTTGTTTTCTTTGTTCTACACAGGTGATGGTGAAAGGAGCTATCTTCCTCAGTGGACAGAAGGAAATCAGAAACAAAGGCATACTTAATGCATTCATTTTTTACTATGTACTCTGCTTTCATTTTTCTTTCCTTTTAAAGAAATGTTACAGGGATAGAGTCAAGAGTTTAGGAAAAACACTTAATGTTAACCCTCAGTGGCTGGAAAGCAGTAGTACGGCCCAAGGTCTCCTTCCAACTATTTCAAAGAAAGGTTTCTACTTGCTTCTTTTATTGCCAGGTCATCAAGCACACTAGAGAAAAGTGGTGTCCAAAACCCAAACATTATTAGTGCCTAAATTGTGCAGTCTTTTTTATTTGTGCACATAGTTCCCATTATTTAAGTACTTTGCCTTTCAAATAAAGTCCAATTTGCTCTTCCTTCCCATAAGCCATTCTCTTTTAGCTAAGTGTAGCCAGTGAGCCTGGAAACTTTGGGCACTGTACCGGTTAATGACATCTCCTATTCACACAGCCTGGAATGACAGCTTCTCATTCCCGATCGACATCAATGCTGATCTGGCTCCTGTGGCTGTCATGCTTGTCTACACCCTTCACCCCAGTGGGGAAATTGTGGCCGACAGTGCCAGATTCCAGGTTGACAAGTGCTTTAAAAATAAGGTGATGTTTCTTCTATTTCTTGCCTGTCTTGAGAGAGAGAGAGAGCAGTGAGCACTTTTCTCCCTGTTGTTTTCTAATATAATTACTATGACCTTTATGTGGTGATCTCAGAGTAAATGCTGGTATAATTAAATTATTAGGGATAAGGGAATTGCCAGCAGAATGAATAACTTTTGGTAGCAATGCCAATCCTGAGATGAGAGGAGGATGGTGAAGATGTCCTCGTAAGGAGAGTTAAGGGTGAGAATGGGCAGGAGAAACATAGGTACAGAAATCTATAAACTTTTATTTGGAAAATATCACATTTATTCAAATTATTTTGAATGCATTCAAACGTATTTATTCAACTTATTTTTAAAGTGATCTTACTCTCCTTTTCTTCCTCCACTGCAGGTTAGCATAAAGTTCTCTAAGGAGCAGGGGCTACCCGGTTCCAACACCAGTCTCTACCTGCAAACAGCCCCTGACTCATTCTGTGCGCTCCGGGCTGTGGATAAGAGTGTCCTTCTGCTGAAATCAGAACAACAGCTGTCAGCTGAAAGTGTAAGCTCTCATTTCCTCATTTTCATCTGGCTTATATTTTTTTGTTTTTTAAGATTTTGTTTATTTATTTGAGAGAGCAAGAGAGAAAAAGCATGAGCAGGGGGAGCAGCAGGCAGAGGGAGAAGCAGACTCCCCACTGAGCAGGAAGCCTGATGTGGGGCTCCATCCCAGGACTCTGGGAGGATGACCTGAGCCGAAGGGAGCCGCTTAATGGACTGAGCCACCCAGGCATCCTCGGCAAATGTTTTCACTTGAGATGAACATACTAAGAATATCAAATATTTCTTCCTTTGTTCATGGGTTACATGTTTGATTTTTCTTGAAACCTAGAGTTAAATCTCCATGTTAAAGGATAAGTTTGGGTACAGCACCCAAAATTGTTATCTATGAACAGATCTTATATTGTCATAAGCATTTCCAAACCAGCCATTCTCGAGTTTGAGACATCAAAATTATTCCCATTAATAACTGTTGGATATTTCCCCTTTATATTTAACACAAGAACATATAAATATTGAGATGTATGATCCTACTCACAACTAATTTAATAAATTAAATATTTTCTTATTATTAAATATACCTATTACTTTAATCTATTTGAGCTGCTACAAAAAAAAAAAAAATGCCCCAAATTAGATACCTTACAAACGGTAAAAATACTTCTCACACTTCTGGAGGCTGAAATTCTAAGATGAGGGGACCAGTATGGTCAGTGAAGTCCCTCTTCTGGTTTGCAGATTTCTTGTATCCTCACATAGTGGAAAGGACAAGAGACATCTCTCAGGCATCTATTATAAGGTCATGAATCTCATTCTCTACCCGTTCTACCCTCATGACCAAATCACCTCCCAAAGTCTCCACCTCCTAATTCCCACAATGGGCATCAGGATTGCAACACATTTATTTTGGGAAGACACATTTAGCACCTGTGTAGTTTAGAAAATGTGCAAAATACACAAAGAAATGAAGAAGGAAATCTTCAAAATCATTCATAATCTTAACACTCAGACTTTTTTATTTCACAAAATAGACTTTTATTTTACAGAAATGAACATTTATGATACTATTTTTTAAATCTCTTTTCTGAAGGTATATCTATGTTACAAATGAAATCTCCCTGAAAAATGCAATTTTGTTTTCTGCTTTTAACATTGTATAGTACATCTGGTTTTAAGTATAAACTATAAAAATTAATTAATAACAATATACTAATAATGATTAATCATGACATAAACTGTGATTTTTCCCAGCGCAAAAGTTAAATACATATAAATTTCTTATTGGTGCTAAGAAGCTTCTAACTGATTTCAAAGTCAGTTAGAAAAGGATCAGAAAATAAAGGATAAACATATCTGTAAGTGGAAAATATATATATACTTTCTAAGAGTTTCATGGAGCCAGACTAAATAGCTTCCGCTCATTCTTCCTACAACTGGAGGTAGCAAAGTCTTAGAAAAACCACCTTGAGGGAAAACCATTAAAGGTCCACCATAGAAAATTCCAGAAGCACTTCACCAGACCAGAAGATTCAAGAGAATGAGAATATGATATTAGAGCCAAAAGAGGTTGCCCTTGGTTATTATCTATAGTCATATTAACAGTGTAAATCAAGCAAAGTTATATAAATGAGTGTATTCCAACTCATATTATTAAAGTTTGTTCTACTTTTAATATTATGTAAGTTTAATTTTTAGTTCTAAATAGTGTTAAAGGTTTTATTTATTTTATTTTATTTTATTTTAGAGAGAAAGAGAGAGAAAGCCCAGGTCGGAGGCATAGGGAGAGGGAGAGAGAATCTCAAATAGACCACACTAAGCAGAGCCTGACTCAGAGCTCAATCTCACAACTCTGAGATCATAACCTGAGTGGAAACTTAGAGTCAGAAACCTAGCTAACTGAGCCATACAGTTGTCCTCATTTTTTCTAAAGATTTTTTAAATTTATTTATTTGACAGACAGAGATCACAAGTAGGCAGAGAGGCAGGCAGAGAGAGAGGAGGAAGCAGGCTTCCCGCTGAGCAGAGAGCCTGATGTGGGGCTCAATCCCAGGACTCTGGGATCATGACCTGAGCCGAAGGCAGAGGCTTTAATCCACTGAGCCACCCAGGTTCCCCTGTCCTCATTTTTAAAAAAGATTTTACTTATTGATTTTTACTTTGGTGGGGGCAGAAGGAGAGGATAGAATCTCCAGCAGACTTCTCACTGAGCATGGAGTCTTAAATAATTTTAAAAGATGTAAGAATTATACAGAGAACTCTCATGTACTCTTTACCACAGTCACCAATTTTTAGCATTTCGCCACATTTGTTTTCCCTTTCTCATTCTGTCTCCCCACCCCCCTCACACACAAACATGCCCACATATATATACATAGCATTTCCATTTTTTTTCCTAAACCATGTGAGAGTGGGTTGAATCCTTCATGCTACACTATTCCTTAATATATCAGTGTTCATTTCCAAAGAGCAAGGATATGCTCCTACATAATTACAATACAGTTGTCAAATTTAGAATATTAAACATTGATTCAATACTTTGGATCAGATGTCCCCTTTGCCACATATTTTTCCTAATTTAGTACAAGATCCAAGACAGGATAACATACTGCATTTGGTACTCATGTTTTTTTAGTTTCATTTAACCTAGAACACAATCTTTCTTTGTCCCTTATGAAATTGATATTTTGGAGAACTTAAGCCAAATATTTTATTTGTTTGGGTTTTTGTTGTTGTTGTTGTTGTTGTTGTTGTCTTGGGGTTTTGTAGGGAGGGTTGTTTGGTTTTTTGTTTTTTTAGAGAGACAGTATAAGCAGGGGTATGAGGGAGAAGGAGAGAGAGAAACTTAAGTAGCCTCCATGACATGGAGCCTGACACAGGGCTCCATCTCATGACCCCAAGATCATGAACTGAGCCAAAACCAAGAGTCAGACTTTTAACAGACTAAACTAAACCACCTAAGTAGTTTTTGATAAATGTTCCTCATTTTAAGTTTTTTCTGATATTTCTCATGATTGGGGCAAAATTATACATCTCTGTCCAGAATACCACATACATGATACTGTGCACTTTTCAAGGTATGCAAGATCCATCTGCCCATCATTGGTGATAGTAATTTTGATCACCTGATAAAGGTGTTTCCATATATCTCCATGGGCTATTTTCTTCCTTCAACTAATAAGCAATTTGTTGTGCTTTCTTCCTTCAACTAATAAGCAAATTAAAACTATTTGTATACCCTGCTCCTCATCAAAATTTCCTTAGAGTTAGCATCCATTGATACTTTTTGCCTAAACCAATATTGGTGTGATAGTTGAAACATGATTTTCTAATTTTCCCTCTTCCTCTTTATAATGGCACAAAACTTGCCAAATTTGTCAAAATAAAAAGAATGCTTAAAATCATTGGGAACCATGTGATTTTTTTCTCATAGGTGTACAGATTGCTTCCAAATATAGAACTATATGGTTATTTCCATCATGGGCTCAACCTTGATGATAGCAAGCTTGACTCTTGCATTCCTCAAAAGGATATGTTTTACAATGGTTTGTATTATGTACCTGTAAGCAATTATGGTGATGGAGACATCCATGATATTCTCAGGGTAAGATCATTTAAGATTTTAAAAATTATTTCATCTCAATTTTAATTTTAGTATTCAGAATTCATATCTATGTCTTATTAATTGTGTGCTTTTGTTCCTATTCTTGGAGATTGGTGTCCATAATTTGTTTAAAGATCACTCTGCAATTGTCTTATAAAAAGGAGATATTAATTTTTGTTGATTTTTCTCTTTTTTAAAAAATAAATTAGTTGCAGTGAAGATATAAAAACCTTATGTTTGAAGTAATGAGACAGTTTTCAATTTATTGCAAGAGATGTTATGCAAAACTCATCAAATAAGGAGGCTAAAATATATTCCAAACTCTATCTATACTGAGGTTATCCTTTGGATATGCTGAGGCCTCTAAAAAGGATCTTTACAATTGAGGTCAAAGGTATAGAAGAAAAGGGGCATATAATTGGGCAGACTTTAGCTTAAGTCCCAATTCTCCAAAAGACTGACTGCATTCTGTGTGTGTGTGTGTGTGTGTGTGTGTGTGTGTGTGTGTGTGTTTATTTGGTGTTAATTAGGGTGATGATAGTGCTTATATCAGAAGTATTTTTCCCTTTGAATTAAGTGGGGAATGATTTAAAATACTTATCCAAATCCTAGCACATAATTGTTAGATAAGCCATAGTGCTTATCATTTTTTTTCCAAATTAAAGACTTTCCATACATGCAATAGTGGTGACTTGACTTCTAAAATCCCAGACCCTTGCTAGCAGAGGAAACCTTTGTGTCATCTCCTTATGATTATAGTATAGTTGTTAGGACTTTTTGGGTCTTAACATGAAAGAAATGCACAACTTTCTTTTGCTGTTTTTTTCTTTGAAGGCTATGGGTCTGAAAGTCTTTACCAATCTTCATTATCGGAAACCAGAAGTATGTTCAATGGAGAGAAGGCTGCCATTCCCTGGGCCATTGTACTTAGCCTCAGAAGAATATGCACCAATGTACAGTTATGCCCCATCTAGAATTGTGTGTGAGTAATCTAGAATTTCGTGTCTGAGAGATGGCTAAAAGAATTCATGGAATTGGGTATATATGGGATAAAACTCTACAAATTGGGATTTGGGTGTGAATTATACCATGTTTTTGGCTACAACTAGACATCTTGCAAGTGAACAAAGCAGGATAAGGCAGACCGGAAATGATTTTTGTTTTGGTTTGGTTTTTGTTAAAAAGAAGAATTAGCTTCAGCTATGAAACGAAGTTTATTTTTATTGGTAGAGCACAATGTCAGAAGAGCATAGGAAGCTGGCAATGTGTAGGGATGTGGGAAGACAGTCATTATAAGTGAGTGTGATACTTGAGAATGAGGCGTCCTGATGGAGCCCTTATACCTTTATTATGTATAAACCATAATACACAGAGTTCAAAAGAAAGGGTATTTTAACTCCCCGATAGCCAAAAAGCTGGCATCAGAGAAGTGTGTTAAACTATTAGTCCATTTTCTGTTGGAGAGCCTGTAAGCACAAAAATCAGCCATAGTCTTAGATGAATAAGGTAATTAAGCAGATTTTCAAAACAGAAATTTAGTCAGAGAAGAAAAATGAAACAAATCATCAAAACAGAAATAAAATCAAAGCTGAATTCCAAGTCTGAAAATACTTGAACAACTCTCTTAAATCCTTCTATGTAACGTTGAATTAGTCCATTAATTGAAGTGGGGCTGATCCTGAAGGTGAGTACCAGAAACTACATGAGAAAAATGAAAGGCCTGACAACTTTATACAAGTGTGGACTCAGGGGGTAGTCAAGAGGCCTTAGAAAGTCGAGTTTGAAACTACTTTGGAGTCCTAGTCAAGAGGTTGAAGCTTTCTACTTTTCTGCTCCTTGATGACACCATATTCAGTAAGCCTTATCAGAAACATTTCAACTTTTTAGTATCTTTCAATAAAATGTGCTGAAACCTAAAGTCATTCATTTTAATATCTTCTTTCTTCTGTTAGGCATTTGTTAAGTCACTCAACAAACATTTACTGAGTTACAGGCACTGAGTTATACGTTGTAAAGGCAGTGGCTTAATCTTTACTGTCCTGGAACTTTTAGTCTAACAGGGAAGTATTACAACGAAACAGGTAATTCCAAAAGGCTTGGGAGAGTACATTACATGGAAAGAATATGAATAGAAGATGTAAATTTCTCAATTTCTCAAGGGCCTCTTATATCCCCCTGAAAGAAAGAGCATTTATACCAAGACCTCAATGATGAATGATAATGCACCACAAAAAGAGATAGAAGGGCATTCCAAGCAGGGAGGAAAATATCCTGAAACACTAGCTAAGAAAATAAATTCCGAATGTCAGAAAGGTGGCTTCCAGGCCAGGGTGAAGACAGCAGAAGCAAGAGGGGTAGACAGCTCGTGGAGACCTTGTAAGGGCATTTAAAGAGTTTGGAACTCATTTTCATGAATAATGCACAATGACAAGTTTTCAGCCAATAATCTAATATGTGTTTTTCAAAGTTATCTTTGGCTGCTCTGTGGAAAAGGAGATTGGGATTTGGGCTGTTTGTATGAAATATTCTAAATGCTACTAATTAAATTGAGAGAGGGTGATGCTTGGACTACCATAAAAAGGCATGGAGTACTGGGTGTGGTGCATAAACAATGAAATTTGGAACACTGAAAAAAAAATAAAATAAAATAAATTTTTAAAGGCAATAGAAATAGAGAACCATGGATAGATTTGAGAGCTGTTTTCAAGCAGTTTTCATCAGATTGGTTAGGATAGGAAATGAGGGATGGAAGTGCTGAATCAAGGACAACTCTTAAGTTTCTGATTTGGGTGAGTGGATTTTGGTACCTTTCATGGAGACAGGAAATACTGGAGAGTAGTAGGTGGAAGATATAATGCATTTGCTTTTGGAAGAGTTTCACTTAAAATGCAACTGAAAAGAAAATGTGTGCATAAGACTATGACACGCATAAGTCTGGAACTCGGAAGAGAGGTCCAGGCAGGAGACACAGACGTGGGGGGAGGGAGGGGAGACATCAGCTCACGTACTGTAATGGTGTCATGTGTGAGGATATCAATGGGGAAACAGTGAATAAAGAAAAGAAGAGAACCTAAAACAGCTCTTAGGAACAAGTCAAAGAGGGAGAAATTACATCTTCAAATGACAATGGCAAAAAAGAGAACTAGAAAGATATGACATCACAGAGGTTAACATCAGGGACTATTTAAAAAGAACACTGTGATTATGATTGCCAAATACAGCCTAGAGGCAAAGAAAGTGAAAGTAAGTGTTCTTTAGAATTAGTGATATTGATAACACTAGAAATTCTAGGGAAGGTTAGCAGAGTGGAACTGGCAGACACCAGAATTTCAAATGAGAAACTCCATTTATGGAATAAACATCACTTTCTCTAAATTTGGTTGTGGAGGAACAATGTAGGCTGTTTGTTGTTTGTGTCTGTTTGTTGTTGTCTTTAATAATGACAGAGATTTGAACAACAAAATACTGATGCCTTGGTTGAGATGCATATTTATTGGCAATGAGCCCCGGGAGCAAAGCATTGTGTGGTTAAACACATGGCAATAGATATGTGTCATTGAAGCCCATACCTTCATTCTCTCCTAAGAAAGCATTTCTTTTTCTTTTAGCTCACGAAAGCATGAAGGAGAATTTTGGCTATGTAGAACAGGCTATAAGAGAAACAGTAAGAACAAACTTTCCAGAGACATGGATATGGGACCTCGTCAGTGTCGAGTGAGTTTTTGAGTTTTCCCTCCTACATGTCTTTATTTCTATTTTCTTTTTGTTGTGATCTCTTAAACTTTACTCCTGGATATATAAAGCAGTACCATATTTGTAAAAGACATTATACTATTCATTTGTATGTACTGACCATGTATTTTATTTTTTCTATAGCATTGTTTCTCATTTATTAATCTCATGCAGATAGATGTAAACTACCTCAATTTTTTTTTAAAAATGCACTGTTTAAAGAAATGTGATTTTTTTTAAAGATTTTATTTATTTATTTGTCAGAGAGACAGGCACAAGCAGCGGGAGTGAGAGAGGGAGAAGCAGGCTTCCCGCAGAGCAAGCAGCCTGATGTGGGGCTTGATCCCAGGATGCTGGGACCGTGACTTGAGCTGAAGGCAGATGCTTAACAACTGAGCCACCCGGGTTCCCTAAGAAATGTGATATTTTTGAGGATAAATTTCATAGAAATCCAGCTCTCAAGATTATTACCCGGTGCCCTGTCTAACCGTTTTAGCTTACTTTTAACCTTCAGTTAAAATCTTTTTGCTTATGGGACACTTGAGTAGCTCAGTCAGTTAAGCGTCTGCCTTTTGCTCAGGTCATGATCCCAAGGTCCTGGGATGTAGTCCTGCATCAGGCTCCTGGCTTCTCCCTCTGCCTGATGCTCCCCTTGCTTGTACTCTCTATCTCTCCGACAAACAAATAAAGAAAATCTTTAAAAAAAAAAAAAAAAGCTTTTTGCTTGCTCTGGACTTAATTTAGTTTCCTCATTGAGACAAAGAATACGTTTCATCAATGATCTCTCCTTAGTTCCTCAGGCTCGGCAAATCTGTCCTTCCGCATCCCTGATACTATAACCCAGTGGCAGGCAGATGGCTTCTGTGTGAATGGTGATGCTGGATTTGGCATTTCATCAACAGCTACTCTGGAAATCTCCCAACCTTTCTTTGTTGAAATGACCTTGCCCTTTTCAGTTGTTCGAAATGAACAATCTGATCTGATTGTCAATGTCTTCAGCTACCTGAACACATGTGTAGAGGTAAGTTCTTCCCTTTGACCTAGGGACGAAATCTACAAGGCCAAAAGATCCCTTGATATTTTCCTTGAATATCACCATATTCTTTTTATTCTCAAGGGCAAAATGGTATGATAAAGTGATAAGACCTGTTTCCATATTCCTTAGACCAAGACAGTTGCTTGAATTCACAGCAAAGATTTAAATACCGCTTTGACAATGCCATTTCATAACGATGTGTGTTCTACCTTATTTTTCTTCTTGTGAGAAGTCATTTGGTATCTTTAATTTTTGCTAACTTAAAATAGTTAATTTTCTCAAGATGGGAAGAGGATTAGTAACAGCCACGTGTTTGGAGTGCCACCCTCATTGCATGGCGATTTTTTTAGATTTCTGTTCAGCTGGAAGCATCTCAGGATTTTGAGGCAAATACCAGCACCCCTAAAAACAATGGCAGTGAGGTTATCCAACCTGGAGAGAGGAAAACATATGTCTGGACTCTATTACCTAAGATATTGGGTAAGCAGCTATGTGTATGCCAATCTCTCATGGAAAGCCAAACTTTTCTCCTTTCCTTTTTTTCTTTTTTTTTTTTTTTTACTTTTATTTCCAGTATGGTTAACATATAGTGTTATATTAGTTCCAGGTGCACAAAATAGTGGTTCAATAATTCTATACATTAGTCAGGGCTCGTCACAATAAGTATACTCTTAATCCTTGGGGTGGGTGAATTAGGTGAGGGGGAAAACCAGCTTATTTGTATTGCCTTCATTTATGTTCCATACATCCTCTATACAAACATAATTTTCTCCCTCTCTTTTTTTAAAAATCCTCAGTTAAAAATCCTATTTTTATAATCTAGTTTCTGGTAGCTCATGCTTGTGTAAAGCAAAACTACCAATCATTTGTATAAAACTATTTGTATTTGTATAATGGGATTGAAATATGATATAAATGCCAGTTTTCATGATCTATCAAATCCATATATCATATCCTAAAAGAAGGTGGTATTTTCACTAATTTTGCCCAATTCCTTCACTTCTAACTTACTTCTTCACCTGTCATCATGAACGTGTGTCACTTATCCCAAAATTACTCCTTGATCACAAATTGCCAGGATTTGCAGATTTACTAAATATATCCTGAGACACCAAAAACACTGAACACTTAGGTGGAGATAAAACACTGAGAAGAGTAACATCTTCATGCATATATTATTGCAATATAGAGAAATAAATTTGGAAGTAGACTGTTGAAAAATATAAGGGAAGGGTTAAAAAAGAGTCTAGTAAACAGAAAAAGCTAGATGTGGTAGATGCATAAGACTTATTATCATTTATGTAAAAATTGTCATTAAAATTTTCTTTATTTCATGTCCCCTATTCATTGTATTTTTGGGGAAGCAAAGAGTTTATTTATGAGATCATTTTAGTTCACCTGTGAGATTGGTCTAAAAGTAGTTTTCCTGTTAGATTTTGTTTCTCAGTTGTTCTAACTACTCTAGGTCTTTAAAAATCTTCCCCTGGCAATTAAGATAGAACACTGCATGGCATTTTTTACAGCAAGTTTTATGACCTTAAGTGGGGGACACAGTTCTAAGAATGAAGAATTGACGGCTTTCTTAAAAAGAAACAAATGAGGCAAAACACAGCAGCAAGGAAAAACAAGAATAGTAAATTGTGTATATATATATATATGTATATATATATATACGGATATATATATACATATATATATATATTGGTATATAGGTATTCAGTAATAGTGAAACAAAAGAAATCTCTTTTTCAGTCTTCTAATTTTTACACGTAACGAAACTGAAGATCAGCTTTAATCGCATGACCTATGATTCACAAGAAGTTAAAAAAAATGGATTCCTTGCTAACACTCGTTTAAATCCAATGGCCTTTCCACTATGGCATATTTTACTCTTTTTGCTTGTTCAAACTTGGAATAAGTTAAGAGTCCTGGTTATTTGATGTTATGTTCCTATATGGGCATGTGTAACCTTTACAAACAATCAGTTATCAAGGAATTGTCTCTGTTGGTTTTGTAAATTATTATTTTTCCTTAAAATGTCTTACTTTTTAATTAAGTAAATGGGTCATTTATTTTTTGTTTGGTTGGTTTTCAAAAACTTCTTTATTTGATTATAGCTGGCCCACAATGTTATATTAGTTTCAGGTGTACAAATAGTGATTCAACATCTCTGTAGGCTATGCCGTGCTCAGCACAAGTATAGCTACAATTTGTCATCACATAAGGCTATTACAATACATTGACTCTATTCCCCATGCTGTACCTTTTATCGCCATGACGTTCTTTCATTAACTGGAAGCCTGGATCTCCCTCGCCCCTTCCCCCATTTTGCTCCTCTCCCCTACCCCCTTCCCTCCGGCAACCATCAGTTTGTTCTCTGTATTTATAGGTCTGATTCTGGTTTTTGTTTGTTCGTTTACTTAATTTGTTTTGTTTTTTTAGGTAACGAATCATTTTCTTAGTGTAAGGAATCTTGAAACAGATAAAACAGAAAATGCCAAATTATCTTCAGGCAGGAAAAAGAGCAAGTTATTTTGGTTTAAGCATAAATATGATGATAGTATTCAGTTCATTCAGTCCAAGATGTGCTTCATTAGACTCTAATCATTTCCCATTATAGAAGGGGCCAGTCGTCATTTAACTTACATCCGGGAATGTTTTCCAGGGAAAGTGAATATCACTATAGTTGCTGAGTCCAGACAAAGTAGTGCCTGCCCAAAAGAAGGACCTGAGCATCAGAATCTAAACTGGAAAGATACTGTAGTCAAAAGTCTGTTGGTAGAGGTATGTACATGTGAAACTCTCAAGCTCTTCCAAGATAAAGTTAAATATGAAAAGACGTTCTTCTTGAACAGGCTAAATTAATGGACTCGAGTTACTTTCACGCAAGATATATCATTTTATATGAATTAAAACAGCAATAAAATTCATCCTTTCTTTAATTAATACCTGGATTTATTAATTTAATTCATTTTCTTTAATTAACTTTCCTTAATTAATACCCAAATTAATTAATTTAATTAAAATTAATTTACTGACCCTAGGAGAGTAAAACTTAATACTTGAAACAGGCTTGATGGCACTTAGCTTGCTCCTGACTCGTGTTTCCTGTAGGCCTGTTGCTCTTTCCTTCCTTTTTTTTAACCGACTCTCAAATCAGAGAGTCCTTGTCCTACACTACCATGTGGTTCCCATCATCTTCAAAATGAACTAACACTCGCCAGTGCATATTTCTCCAGTTGCCTCTTGGCCTGTCCCTACTCTGCAAAACACTTTTGTTTATTAATTGGAGATCCTAGACAGGATAAGAGGAGTTGAGAGTGTACCACAATGACATCAAAGTTATCTCTGTCTGACCTATGGGAACACAGGGTCTAAAGTAGGTCATGGAAATAAATGCACGGTGACTTTCAAAATTTAACAGAGGGGAACAATGAATGGCTCGCCTCCCAGAGACAAACGGGTGCCAGCTATGCCTACATGGAAGGTGGCCCAGACTCATTATTTTGTGCTTGTTTTTGTTTACTCTTTGACAGCCTGAAGGTATTGAAAGGGAAATGACTCAAAGTTTCCTAATCTGTACAAAAGGTAAGAGGATCCTTTAGGTGGTCAAATTAGTCCCAAAGAAAAATTATCAGTTTATTTCCTCTCCTTCCACATTGTTTCCTTTGCCATACTGAGTCATTTCAGTGATTCCCTTTTCAGTAGCTAGTGGAGGATTATTTCATTTCATGCCCTATCTTCATCGTTTAATTTTGGCTAACAAAAAAGTTTATTTATTTATGAGGTATTTTTTTAATTCACTTATGACACTGGTCTGCCTCGGCCCATTTCCCCATCTTATATATTTTTGGCTCCTCTCGTCATGACTGCAGCAAAGTATTGGACAGAGGAAGATCAAGATTAGGTTCTTTGTACTTTTGGGATAAAGTAACTGAGACCTACATCACTGCCCCCCGTCTCCTGCTTTGTGGCCAACTTGTTGATGATGATCTGATTTCAGCGGGAGTCTCCAAGCTTTTCCTTTTGTGTGTGCCCTTTAATCTGTCAGTAGTTTTTTATATTTTTTTCATACATAAGTACTTGAGGCACTAAACTAGTGGAAAATAAGGGCCACGTTATCCAATACACACATATATACCATTTTCTGAATATACCATTATTCCAAACTAGGTCAGAGATGGCAATTTCATCTTTTCAAACAAGCAACTTGCAAAATAAAAGTAAATAACAGAATCTATTTCCTAATATGTTTGTCCCACACATCTGCCGCTATTGTTTAGAAAAGAAAGTTATCACACTTTCGTTTTTATCAATATTTTCTTTCTAGGGACCAAAGCCTCCAAGCAGGTAGTTTTGGACTTGCCAGATAGTGTGGTAGAAGGATCCGCCAGAGCCTTTTTCACTGTTGTGGGTAAGTTGGTTAAGTATTGTCTTTCACGATGATTTGAAAAATTTAAATGAGGTAATTTTTTAAAAAATAATAATCCTTACAATAACAGGATGGAGAGATTTTTCTGTTAAGTATTAGTTGGAGAAAAGTACTATTGAAGGTCATCCTCTCTATGCTTGTTTCCATGTGGGATCTGAAGGGATTACATACCATTTTCAAATCCATGTCCTTAGGAAACGCTTGTTTCACTGGATGATAACTGGCATTTAGAAAATAAAGCCTTCTATTATATAACTCATGCATCTGAAATATTAAGTTCCCCTTTTTTAAAAGACTCTATTTATTCATTTGACACAGAGAGAGAGAGAGAGAGAGAGAGAGCACAAGCAGGGGGACTGGGAAAGCAGGCAGAGGGAGTGGGAGAAGAAGGATCCCAGCGGAACAGAGAGCCCCACTTGGGGCTCGATCCCAGGACCCTGGGATCATGACCTGAGCCGAAGGCAGACACTTAACTTACTGAGCCACCCAGAGGCCCCTTAAATTCCCTTTTGAAGAATCAGAATAAACCCTGCTTGTTAAAGATGGTGGGAATTTCGTCATAACAGGAAAACTCATGCATAATAATAATAACAACCAAGCAAACAAACACACTCTTATCTAATTTCCCCCTCTCTCTGGTAATGAGATTTCCAGAAATATTTTCATACCATAAACTCCTTTCACTTCACCCTTCATGCCTATCTCCTCTTTAGAATTACCTCACAGAAACTTTCCTTATCTCCACCTTTTAAATGCAACTTTAAATATTTCCTGCTTTTGTTATGCCTCTTTTATCCACAGTTACTAATGCTGAGATGCCAACTATAAGCAGTAGTAACCTTCAGCTTTTCTTATTTTTAGGGGATATTTTAGGACTTGCGATGCAAAATCTGGAGAATCTTCTCCAAATGCCATATGGATGTGGAGAGCAGAATATTGCCCTGCTAGCATCGGATACCTATGTCCTTGACTATCTGAAATCTACTAAACAGTTAACGGAAGAAGTTAAATCTAAGGCTTTCTTTTTCTTGTCTAATGGTGAGACCATTTAAGTAATTTCTGCCTATAAAAAATAAAATCAAGTTTTACTAATACTAAGATGTCACAAAGTTATCATTATAAGCTATTCTCATGGGGAGAAAGTGGGTCTGAACTCTGAACTGGTGTGTTCTGAGTCCTCACTATTCTTTTTTTTTTTTTTTTACTTCAGTATATGTGTGGTCATTTAGCTTCATAATTCAGAACAATAACATTTCAAATTATGAGCTCAGTTTTTTTAATCTGAATATTTTGCCAAGCTACCTAGTTTGTTGCTACTGTTACTAATAGTAGTTATAAATAGTTGATTTATCAACTTCTATATTGGTTGGCTCAGTGGTGTTCCATTGCAATGAAGTGATTGGATTTGTATGTAGAGAAGAGGTATATAAATCTTGTGAAATATGATATCAAGGAAAGGCTCATGGGTACAATTTCTTCAGGTTTTCTTTTCAGAAAAATGACAGAGTAGTCAATTAACCTTAAGGAAAAGGTATTAAAGAGGTATTAAAAGGTATTAATTAGTTAAGTGCCAGTTACTGAGCTGGGCATAGTCACATGTAATATCTTGTCATTAAAACCTTTTAAAGTAGGAGTTAGTTTTTCTCACTATGAATAGGGACCCTGAGTTTCAGAAATTAAAACTGAAATGATCAATCTAGTAATTCGTCTGTCTAAAACCCAAACACAGGGCTTGCAGTATGCCATTCTTTTTCTTCTAATTTGCTTAGCTTAAAAAGATAATCTCCTACCATTTTGTACTTTAGGTTATCAAAAGCAGCTGTCTTTCAAAAACTATGATGGCTCATACAGTGTGTTTCGGCAGAGGAATCAGAAAGGAAGCATGTGGTAAGAGACGAAAATTTTATTTTAAATAATAGAGGGATGATCTGAGAAGGGCTTGGGACAGGCTGAGAGAGTTGAGTGTGGTAGGATTTGGAAGCAAAGTGGGTTTCAAAGTGAATGGATGGAGATGAACCAGAGAAGGTATTATTCTTAATTCCAATGCAGCCATACACCTGGAGTGCCCTGACAATTTGCCTAGAAGTCTTATCATTTACTGACAAACCCCTGTACTTCCATAGCCTAACTTTGTGGAAAATGGCACAGGCTAGTCCACACTTCTCAGAGAACCATGTAAAGAGTCAACGGAGAGGAAAGAAAATTAGAAGGCCCCAGGGACACCTGGATGGCTCAGTCAGTTAAGCATCTAACTCTAGATTTCAGCTCAGGTCATGATCTCAGGGTCTCATCCGGCTCTCTTTCTTCCTCTGCCCTTCCACACCCTCTTTCCCTCTCTGTAAAACAAACAAACAAACAAAAAACCTAGAAGGCCCCCCAGCATCAAATTATACCCATTCCATCTCCATGTATAGATAATCCAATTAACCACAAATCAAGAAGCTTGTTTGTAAACATGCTGAAAATGACCTACTTTTCTTTTTACATATTGATATTCATAACATTTTACGGACCCAAAGGGAAAAATGCACTATCAATAAAGATTCCCTACAGTCATCATTGGCCAAATTAGATGCATCCATTATCCAAAGAGAATAAGGGTGCTGACCCCGTGGATTTGATGACATTTCTTTTTTATCTAACTTCTTTCTAACTAGTGATTTGTATTACAGGCTCAGTGCCCTTACTTTTAAGACATTAGAGAGAATGAAGGAATATGTTTACATTGATGAACAAGTTCAAAAAGAGACCTTAATCTGGCTTTCAAGCAAACAGAAAATAAATGGCTGCTTTGAAAGTGATGGCAAGATTTTCAACAATGTCTGGGAGGTGAGAAATTAATAGAGCAAGGTTTCCTTGCCCCTTTGCATTGCCTACCTTTCCTATGTCTGATTTAACTAACCTGGAACGGGAATATTTTTCCTGGGACCATTACCCTTTCTGAGTCTGCTGGTCATAGGCCCAGGACATACTGGTCAACAGCATCATTCCACGGCACACACGCTAACGCTAGCTAGACTTACCTCTTCATGAATATGTGGTTTGCTTCACTGTGTTAATTCTCCCATACAACTAGTCTCCTTTGGGGGAGAAACTGAAAACAGGAGCAAAGGAAGAGAAAAGAAACCTAGGAAGGAAACATCCATAAATTTGGAACCAGACAATATGTCAATGGTGGGCATCCTGATTAGGGAATTCATTCCTATTTATGGATGGCAAGAAAGTTCAATACTTAGTAATTTACAACATTTCAGTGAAACACTCTTTCAATACCTTCTCAAGTCAAATCATAAAGGCCTCGCTTGCTGTGGATCAAAATTCAACTGAGATGAACTATGTCCTTGAAGGTACCCACAGCTTCCCTTTCCCTGTCCATATTAAGGTAAATCACTAGGCACTTTCCATTCTAATTTCCCATCTTTGCAGATAGCTGTCCACCTCCATTCCATCTTCTGTGTTCTTTATTCTCCTAACTTTCATATTTGCCTCTGAAAACAATCCCTCTGATATGATACTTTAGTATGCCTTCATTTCACCTGATCACTGCTTCAGTTTGTTTGATCTTACCTAATCCCTCTTCCATAACTCTGTGTGTGTGTGTGTGTGTGTGTGTGTGTGTGTGTGTGTGTGTGTTGAGTTAGGAAGAAGAAGCAAAGGAAAAATAAAAACCTACACTGCAGAGGAATAGCGATAGAACTTGTTATAATGTAAATGGATCCCCACATCTTATTTTAGTGTTTCCTTCTACAGTTATTTGCACCTTGAAAACTGAGCTCCTTGATATTCATTTTCTAAAGAAGAAAGAGGTCATCTTTTGCTTAAATAGAGAAAATGAGAGGTTTATTCCAGATCAGTGGATCTCCAATGCCCTCTGAATGCTGTTTGTTTGTTTGTTTTTTGTGGTCTGCTGTCCTGTCTGGTTAATTTTCCCTTTGTGTTTAGGGTGGAGAAGAAGAGGACATTTTATTCACTGCATATGTTGTTGGAGCCTTCCTTGAAGCTGGACTCAATGTCACCGTACGGCTTTCCATCATTCTTGAATTCCAGTCACTTAAATACACATTAAATCAATTATGGATTCAGAGTGATCTCAGATTCTCAGACTGAATGAAACATCAAGAGAGCACTTAATACATGACCACCCCTTAAGTGAATGCTACTCAACATTTTTTTGATTTGTAGAAACCGGCGATGAGCACTCTTGAGTTTTTCTCTAGGGAGAATACACAACTACACACATACACAAGCTTTTCATACCATTTCCGGTATTGAGCTACTGCCTGAAGTTCAGCCATGAATTCTAGGTTAAGAACCCCTATTCTGTGTGTAGACATAACCAATTTTCTGTTTGTCAGAATATTGGGTGTTTACACACCCAATTCAGTGTATAAACATTTTCGAGTTAAGCATGATTCATATTGGCTACTCCCCAATCCCAAATTCAGATTATCAGACTCAAAAATCTATTCCTGAACTAAGAGATCAGGAATTTTCACTGTCTTTAGTATATCTCGAAAATCGTCTTTAGAAATATAAGCCTCTATTTCAAGCACTAGAGTAAAATACCTTGGTCTAAAAATAAATTCATTCATATGCTTTGCCTCATAGAAGAAATTCATATTATTAATTAAAATAATATAACTGATGAGATATAAAACTACTATTTTCGTATTACTTACATTTTCTTTCCCAAATACTAATATTGCCATTAAAAATGAATTTCAACAATATTTTTAAATTGTATAAATAATACATGAGTGTATCATAGGTTTCTATGTAAACTATTCCTCAAGGATATATTATATACATTTTAAAGAATGCTTAGTTTAAATATTCAGCAAGCTTATAAAGCATTCAGGTATTATTTTAAAATATATTATCCTTCTCTTGACTAGTTCCCTGCTCTACGAAATGGACTCTTTTGCCTAGAGGAGGCCCTGGAAGATGGTGTCACTAATGGCTACATCCATGCGATTCTAGCTTATGCGTTTGCATTAGCAGAAAGAGAGAAACAAGTGGAATCCTTACTCCAGATCCTGGATCAATCTGCTACCAAAACAAGTAAGTGTTATTATTCACTTTACTATTGATGGGAATAACCTTGAGAATAAAGTAATGAACCTTACTTAGCAATCATATGGGAACCCTGTCATCACTGGTATGCTTCCATTTCTCTTACAGAATTTCTCAGTGGCCCCTTTGTCGTTAAAGAACATTGTATATTTTCTACTTCCCTCTTTCTTCATTCTGCTAATTTCTTTTCAGATGTGAAAAGAAGTAAAGGAAACCAAGCATGGTGGCCATGCCATAGACCAAAAGTACTGTTTGTGGGACCTCATCACACATGACTTTTAACCTTAAGAAGTTTTACTGGATGCTCTATTAGTGTGCTAGGGCTACCATAACAAAATACCACAGACTAGGTGGCTGAAACAACAGAAATTTATTTTCTCACAGTTCTGGAAGCTAGAAGTCCAAGATTGAGGTGTCAACAGGTGTAGTTTCTTCTAAAGTCTCTCTCCTTTGCATATAGATGGGTGTCTTCTCCCTTTGTCTTCACATGGGCTTCTGTGGGCCTGCCTACCTGGTGTCCCTTCTGTGAATCCAAATTTCCCCTTCTTATTGGAACTCCAGTCATACTGGATTAGGGTGCACCCTAACAGCTTCATTTTAAGGGAATCATCCCCTTTTTAAAAGGCCCTATCTCCAAATATAGTCACATTCTGAGGTACTGGATATTAGGACTTGAATATGTGAATTTTGAGGAGACATATCCCAGCCCACATCAGAGGCCAGGAATGGAATTTGCACTGTTCTTATGTGTAATTCATGGTGTTTATTCGGACTGTGTGAAAATTTTTCCTTTTCCTCAGATAATTTAATATATTGGGAAAGAGCAAATAAACCCAAGACAGAAGCGTCCCCATCCTTTATTCCTCATGCACCATCTGCTGAGACTGAGAAGACTTGTTATGTGCTGTTGGCTGTTCTTTCCCAGAAAACTCCTGACCTCACCTATGCGAGTAAGATTGTGCAGTGGCTTGCCCAACAGATGAATTCCCACGGGGGCTTCTCTTCCACTCAGGTGACTGATGTGGTCCTGATATTAATAACAATATGTATATTGCAAAAGATGCTTCTCTTCAGTTATCTAGACAGCAAAGGTAATCATAGAAAATGCCTCCTGAGATGAAAAATATTTGATATTACATATCCTATTATTTAGTCAACAACTATTAATTGGGCAGTTCTTGTATAACAGACACTAGTAAGAATTCCTTATATACAAATAAATAAATTAAGGTATCTTTTCAAGGAATTTATGAGTAATTTATACCTCCACTTACACAGTAGAAGTAGAATATAGGACTAGAAGATATTGTTGTCATAGAGTCTTAATGATAAGTTAGATATCCAATGATACTATGATAGCACATATCAACCAGCAAAGAAAAAAAGATTTCGCTCTATTTCTGTGCTGTATACATTGGGAAACACAAATGAAAGGAAAGAGTAACAGAAGAAAGGGGTATAAAAAGAATAGTGGTTTATGTTTTAACAGAAAAAAATCAAAATTCAAAGAAATGCAGTTTCATTCCCACAAAGGAAATGTTCACTTCCCTCCTTACTTTCTTTGGTGTAGTCTTAGTTTCTGAATAAGACCATATGCTAATGAATCTGCCAACATCATTTTCTGATTCTGACTCCTTTCCTTGAAGATCAATGGGCATAAGCGTTACACAAGGCAGCCAAAATACGTAGCAAATTGACATAATGAAAATATTACTATATGATAATAATGTTATATAAACAATGTTACATTATGTCAATTTTTAGAAGTGGTTTGGCACTATTTGCAACAGCAGAGATTACACTTTGTGAAATCATTTAGACTACTAAAATCTAAGATTTGTCGAGGGAGATGAAATGACAATTGCATGAGCAAATGTATTGTCCTGTTGTTTATGATTTGATTCTTTGTATTCTGTTGACTTGGGAATATTTTTATGGATTGCTTTAAAGTTCAGGGTCAAATGATGACTAATACTGCATCACAATGAGCTTAGATCTTTGCTTCTACTGTTATTTGCAGGATACTGCTGTCTGTCTTCTTGCCATAACCCACTACATGAAGTCCACCTTCTCTAATGATCAAAACACTGTCACCTTTATCAGTGAACAATCCAATGAGATTTTCCAGATTAACAATGACAACCGCTTACTGGTCCAGCGTTTGAAACTAACAAAAGCACATGGACAATATACAGTAGATGTAGAAGGACAAGGCTGTGCATTTATCCAGGTAATAGAAATCTACTTGAGGGGTGCCTGGGTGGCTCAGTCGGTTAAGCGTCTGCCTTCGGCTCGAGTCATGATCCTGGGGTCCTGGGATGGAGGCCTGCTTTGGACTCCCTGCTTGGCAGGGAACCTGCTTCTCCCTCTCCCTTTGCCTGCTGCTCTCCCTGTTTGTGCTCCCTCTCTCCCTCTATCAAATACATAAAATCTTTTTTTAAAAAAAGAAATCTACTTGATACAGAGATAAATATTTGCCAGTTAAAGAGCTAGATTATCCTTTGAGTTATAGATGGAGTGTTATCTTACCATTGTGTATGTCCATTGTTATCTCTTTTCTTTCTTTCATTGTTATTTTCTAATCAATAGCTGAAAATGAAAGTCATTTTATGAAGAGATACTTACTCTTAAGCATAGCCGGATAACTGAGGGGTTTCAAAAAGAATGTCACTCTTGGGAAGCATTCTGATATTTCCATTATGTCAAGATTATTTGTTTATAAAGATTTTTGCACCTTCTAAAAACTGAACAATTGCATTTTGCCTTATTCCTTGGTGGTTAAGATGTAAAATAATAATGAAAATAGGGGGGCACCTGGGTGGCTCAGTGGGTTAAGCCTCTGCCTTTGGCTCAGGTCATGATCCCGGTGTCCTGGGATCGAGCCCCGCATCGGGCTCTCTGCTCAACAGGGAGCCTGCTTCCCTTCCTCTCTCTCTGTCTGCCTCTCTGCCTACTTGTGATCTCTGTCTGTCAAATAAATAAATAAATAAATCTTTAAAAAAATAATAATGAAAATAGAGAAAAAATAAGTCCTTCAGTTCTTACTACAAAATAAATGAATGGATTGTCTTCTGACTTTCTATTCTTCCAGGGTATCCTGAGATATAATGTACTACTACCTAAAAAAGCATCTGGATTTTCCCTTTCCTTGGAAATGACCAAGAAAAACTCTTCAGATACATTCCAGAGTAATTTTGACCTGACAGTAACCATCAAGTAAGTGTTCCATTTTGATATCAACTCCTGGGTTAGAACAATGGTAATAGATGAAAAAAATAATTGTTTTAAACAGTAGCAAAATAAATATTAATGATGGTTACCACAATGAGTTGATATATTGGTGGTGATATTTCTAGAACATAGTCTCTTTCTACCTCTCTGTGTGCACACCACAGTTCAGTATTTATGCAAGTAAAATTTATACTGTAGACGGGTATAAATTTGAAAGCTTCTGCCTCACTGATACTCCAGCAATGCCTCCATTGTTTTGCGTGTATGGAAGTCCTGTCGGATTTGGACAACAGAGAGCATATTTTTCCTTCTAAAGACAAGCACAGGTGGGCCAGCCTGAGAAAACTTAGAGATGCTTATTCTATAACTGCATAGAGCAAAATTTTAGATTTTTATTTTTTGGAGTAGGCAAAATAATCCTCTTGAGCTAAAATATAATTTATAGCTGCCAGAGAGTTTTTAGCCCTTGTTAATATGTGGGGAAACACTGAGTAAACTTCCTTTGCGGAATTTTTCTTAGGATTTCCAAATGAAAATCTCTTAAACATCTTAAACATCAGAGCTAAGATAAGAACTACATACACCATGGAACTCTCAACTTGCTTTCTAAACAAAGATATCCATTAAGTATGGTAGAAATCTAAGACTAACATAAGTATATACGATATAAATTTATCAGCTTTGTTTATAAGCTAGGACTCTGAGGCCTCAGGTAAGCTTAAAAGAGATTTGGGAGATTCCAGGTCCAGATAATTTGCTCTTTATTCCAACTTATGTGTCCCTTGTCTGTGCCTATTTTCAGATGTTTGAGAGTGACTTTCCTTGGGTGTTCCCACTTCAGCTTTTTGCCTCTGCTCCAGACATAAAGCCACTTGGTATCTATGTACCCACCATCCTTGCTGTAAGATAGGTCATTATTCTAGACTGCTGTCCTAACTTGTGTTTGTTTTTAAATTTCAGGTATACTGGAATTCGCAATAACTCCAATATGGTCCTCGTTGATATAAAAATGCTGTCAGGATTTACGCCAGTCATGGCATCCATTGAGGAGGTAAATAACAGAAGCCTACCCTTTCAGCACAGATGAAGCAATAGCGTGCAGATAAAATAATTCATTAGCTAAATAAAGTCATGCAGTTCTTCCTTTAAACAGATTTATTCAGAGTTCATGTTTATTTCTGCTGTTATGCTGAAGAGACAGGGTTCTTAATTTGTAGCAACTGGCAGTCATTTGCCCATAGTTCATAATTTAGTTCTTTATTTAGTCACTACTTGTGTTTATGAAAATATCATGGCACAGGGAACATCCATAATATAGATTCCTGACAATTACTTAAGTAAAAAGCATGAAACATTCAACACTGGAAGGTATTCTTTACTATTTATTGTCCTATCCCTCCCTGCCAATTTGTATAAAGCTTGAAAACAATGGCCAAGTCATGAAGACTGAAGTCAAGAATGACCACGTTCTTTTCTACTTGGAAACTGTAAGTTGAGCAGTAACTGTTTTTTCTTCCATGGCTTTCTCTTCTTTTCTGAAGGTAACTGGATGCTTGTATTTTATTCACATGTAAATGAATATATCCAGTTGATCCTTGAACGACATAGGTTTGAACTGCCTGGGTCCACACACATGGGATTTTTTTAATTTTTTATAAATGCAGTACAATCCTGTAAATATATTCTCTCTTCCTTATGATTTTCTTAATAACATTTTCTTTAGTTTGTTTTACTGTAAAAAATACCATAAAAACACAATATCCTACAAAATATGTGTCATGTTATCAGTAAGGCTTCTGGTCAACAGCTGTTGGTAGTTAAGTTTTGGGGGAATTCAAAATTTATATGCAGATTTTCAACCTCACAGGGGCTTGGTGCCCTTAACCCCTGCCTTGTTCAAGGATCAGCTGTATATATCATAGGGTTTGTCAGAAAATACGGGACATTAAAAATAATCAGTGTTCTTCAATCCCACTGATAACTTATCTTCTCCCTGTTGACTCTAACATTATTTCATACATGCTTTGGCTACTTTACTAGATGACTCTCAAGTCAGAAATATCATGTCCCTGTTTTTCGTTCTTCACAGCATCTAACATAGTATGGCCACAGAGCAGATGTATAATTCTTTAATAGTCTGACCTGAACTCCAACAAAGGCTGGCATGAGTTTTAGAGTCATCCCTTCTAAGTGTACACTGCTACAAGTAACACAAATGCCTACATTACCTCAACGCTTTCAACTAAATTTCTTGCACCTCAGTATAAGCAATGGAACTTAAAATTTCATTCATTTAATGTCACCAAACTCATTATTTTGTCATTATGTAAGATCCTGATACCTTAGATCTGTTTAATTGGGTAAATCATGAACTTCTGGAGATCATTTGCCCCGCGATTTTCATTTTGCAGACCTGCTGATGTATTTATACCTAATGTACTTATGATTTGTGTCTTTGTGTGATGCAGACCTCATGTATTTATACTTTGTATCTTTACAGGTTTTGGGTACAGCAAACCACTTTACTTTCTCTGTTGAGCAAACCAACCTTGTGTCTAACATTCAGCCAGCCCCAGTTATGGCCTATGATTATTATGAAAAAGGTAGGCAAGCAATGCCATGCCTGAAAGCTACGGGACATGATATCTGGATTTAAGACTCCCTGAGCTACTAAATTTTCCAAAATTATCCTCCATCATGAAAGTCTAAATGATGACTGGTTTTACTTTATATATTGATATTTTTTCCTCCCTGACATATATTCTGACTCGGTCGTTTCCCAGTTACCAGAGTTTTTCAACTCCTAGAATCCTTTTGATGTAGTCTGAGAAGGGGCCTCTTCAACTTGAAATGTAAACCATGCTCAGCCTCAAGGTCTCTTTGTTGTTATTTTTGCTGTTGTTAATGCCAAGACTTACCATTTCGTGCAACCTTGATGGACTTTGATTTGAGAAGGGGAGCAGGCAATATTCTGAAATATTATAAGAAAGTCTTGATAGATTAGGTTCCAAAACAATTACTAGGATGTTGTAAAGACCATAAAAATTTTCCCTGAAAGGTCAATGCTGTTAGTTACTCATTGAATGTCATACAAAGTCTGTCAAGAAGGATTTGAATTCCTGCTCTGTCATTTACTAGTTGAATATACTGCATCCAGTGCCTTAAACTTTAATAGGACATTTTTGGATTTAGAAAATGGAGAAGTGATTGACTATCTTGGAAAATTATTGGAAAGATTAGACCTGATGTATCTGTACTATCTGACATAATCTGGCTGTTGGAGATTTAAAAATGGTAAACTTTCCCCCTATTTTCCAGATGAATATGGCCTTGTTTCTTACAACATCAACAGTGTTTCAGTTTCCCAGTGAGACAGATAAAGGCCTAGGAAAAGGTAAGGAAATTACAAATATTGAAAATATTGAAACCATTGAAAACACATCTGTTGCTAAAGTGAAAACCTAAAAAAAATAACAATGGATGAAGCAAGGAGAAGTCTGTGATAAGTCACAGGATTTGACCAGCTATGTGCACCAGGTACATATTCTGATAGTCATTAAGATTTTATTTATTTCTTTAAAATAGCTTTAGAGAATTTACAACTATACATGTGGCTTTTATCCATGTCTCATTTTTAAAAATCACTCATCTTTGTTTTATAAGTTGATAGGTCATTAAATACATATGGACTTATACATATACATATCCACATACATATGACATATGTATGAATGTGTTTGTATATGTTTGTATATATGTGTGCTTGCTTAGCTATATTTATATATTTATTTATACATAAATACCCACAGTATTTATTGTTTAAACTATGTTTTTAAATCCCAGGTGGAAAGCTATTTACTTTGAACAAACTCATTCTTCTGTATCAAACCTGAAAGAAAACCCTGAACCACCTTCCATACTGAATATACAGCAGTCTGCCTCTGACTTCTTATCAGACTTTATTTCTTCATTATCCCATAAAATGCTCTCATTTCTCATCTGAGTCTGTGATTTTTTTTTTTCTTTCAGTATACTATACAAAATTTTCATCCTAGGAAACTCGGGATTTTCTTTGATGACAACTCTCATAATTTCCTTTATTGAGGGTGGGGGGTTGGGTGAGCCAATTGGTGGGTACAAATGACTGCTCATATTGCATGAATCACTGGGTGTGGTGCATAAACAATGAATTTTGGAACACACATAAAAAATAATAGAATTAAATTAAATTTTAAAAATAAATTGTTTATTAATTGATTCATCATAGATTAAACTGCTGGTGTCAAACCACGTCTGGTGCTAGAAAGTTTATTTCGCTGTGCTAAGAATTTCTTTATATCTTCTCAGTTCTCTTATTTTACCAAAACACTGTACATCAGAGGGGTATGTATGACTTCACTGCTCAGAGTTTTGAAAAACACCCTAGGTTCTATACATACTTGGGGATTCCACTTAAGGAAAAATAAGACTCTTCTAGTACATTTTGGGCTAAAGATTCAAGTAAAATAAAGGAAGTTTCTTTGTGGTAAATAATGTCTTTTGTGGGAAACTTTTTTTTTTTTTGCCAAATTAAAGAATTTTCAATCCTCATTTTACTTGGCATGTATTAAGAAGTTAGTTCGTTGATGTAATAAAATTGTTTCTCAATTCTAAGCTTGCAAGAAGGGTACGGGGAGGTCTGCCACTGGCTATGCTTCAAGACACAGAGAAAGTCTAGAATTTAATGTTTACATTTGCAAAATTTCTTGGTGAGTATGGCAGGCGACAGGGAACTGAGATCTAAATATCTTTTTATTATTATTATGTTCATTTAGGCAGCATATAGTTCATCATTAGCTTTTGATTTAGTGTTTAAAGATTCATTAGTTGGGTTTAAAACCCAGCGCTCATCACCACATGTGCCCTCCTTAATACCCATCACCCAGTTACCCATCCCCTCCCCCCTCCTTTCTGCAACCCTCAGTTTGTTTCCCAGAGTCCAGAGATCTAAATATCTTCTAAAGAATAAAAAACTATTAATGAACAATAGAGCTCTGTTACTTGCCTTTTGCATTGAAACCTTGTTTCAGCTTATGTTGGACAAAAAAACAAAATCATTTCCCTGGCCCACAGTTTTTTATAAAATGAGACATATAGGATAGTCCAGTTTAGGAATGTTGAGTGGGAAATGCCAAGTTTTGATGTGATAGTGTGTGTCTATGGGTACATGTGTGTATTTAAGAAGGGATCTTTGGTGAACTAGACCGCCATGGAATATTTCATGGAGGATGTATGGCTCTGATCTCAACAAGGCTCACATTATCAAAGCATCACATGACACTTGCCCCTCTTGCCCCTCTAACAAAAGTACTTGGACAACAGGAATAATTCATTCCTTCTATCATGTTTTGATGTAGTAATCACACTTTTTTTTGCATTTTGAAATAAGTTATGTATATATTTAACAAGTACATGAAATAGTTAACCCTAAAATCCCCTTTACTGTCTTCAAGAAATTTCATCCTCTTAGACTTCCTCCTCATTCTATCAATTTTTTTCTTATTTCTCTTTTCTTAGGTCTCAGCCTCTTTCCTTTCATTGTTCTATTTTTCTTCCATCATCACTTAAAAGTTTGATTCCTTCCTCTCCATAATGTACACATTTCCTTCTTACTATCTAGATACTAACTGATCTTCTTTTCTTGGCTGCACTTTCTTTTCCCAAACATTAAATTGTGTTTTTCATCATGATTCTAGCAAGTCCTTTTCTCTTCTCACTATACACACTAAAAATCTTGTGAAACAAAAATTTACATCTGTATTTTTAGGATTCCCGAATATATGCCTGTCCATCTACATTTCAGTCCCATGGATCCCACTGTGTACCATACCTTAGCCAAATGTCCCATAGGCACCTCAATAATATCCATCATTTACCCCCAAACTAGGTTCTTTTACTGAGTTCCCCATCTCAGTGTATGACAATATCATCACTAAAAAATTGGCTGACTACCAACCTTAACCGCTTCCCTGTCTCATCTCTCACATTCTACTGGATACTGTTGATAATGGACCAGTGTTGACCTACCACATGAATGACTGATTGATCTACTTGCTTTTATCCACAATGCCATGCTGCCCTAGTTTGGACCACCAGTCTTGAGTGCCTATCTGTGCCGAAAACCTCTTCTAGATGGTCAGGCTCTATTCAGTGATTGAGAATAGTAAGAAACAGCAACCCTTGCGGAGCTCACATTTTAATGGGAGAGATATACAATACATGTGATATAATCGAACAACAGATGTAGACATAAAATCAGCAACATAGATAGGCAAAATATAAGAAATTGGAAGGTGCTGTGTTATGGAAAATAAAAACTATAGAGATGGGTGGGAGGATCCAGAATGCCCAGGGAGATGGGAAGAGGAGAAGGACTGAAATACTAGGCAGATCTACATTCAACCTTATTGAGGCAGTGACATTTGAGAAAAAGTTTGAAGGAGGTGAGGAAGTTAGGTACATAGATGTCTGAGGAAAGAATACTCCAGGCAGTGAGAGCAACTAGAAAAACAGGAACTTGTGTTTTGCTCTGGCCTCATGGTGCTTTTGAATGAATCATAATTGTTAAGCCAATCACAGTATCTCACTCAGTTCCCTCTGGCAGTGCGCGGTGTTGATGGGGTCAGGTTTCCTAGACTATAGACTCTAAGGTGGAGATCTCCATGTAGGGGGTTTGACTGAGAAGGGCTTTAAAGGTAACACCAGTGGAGGATAAAAAGAATCTGGATTGCACAGGGAGAGGAGCTGAGCTTCGAGGGATCCCAGTAAAAATTTCAGCCCAAAGAGAGTTTTGCTGCTAGGATGGACTTTTAGAATTCTCCCATCTTAAGGCAAGGGAGCTAGGTCTTTATACCACCACAGCGCCCATTATAGGAAACCAAGCGGCCGTTCAGGAGAAGGGGGAACTTGGATGAAAAGTTTCTCTGATACTCAGGAAAATCTTCAGAGCCAAATTCATCTAAGAGCCAACAGCCACCAACATTTCTAGAAGCTGGTGTTAACAGAATTGCAGGATTCTTGTCTCACAAAGTGGATAAATAAATCTCAGGGACATAAAAGGGTGAAGTGACGTGGAAGATTATTAAGTGAAGGGGAGAGCGGAAAGGAAAGAAAAAGCTCTTTAGAGCGAGAGGGAGCCTGAATGGGTTACCACTTAGAGATGTTAGTGAAAGTCTATTATTGACAGCTTGATCAGGAAGCTTGTGGCCCTGAGATTCTTAAGCCGCCTTGGTTTTGAGCAAGGACTATTGATAACATCCTTAATGACTTACTTCTTTGAGGTCTGGTCAATTTTCTGTGATTACAATGTAGTCGCCAAAGAAAAATACTCCCTAACATCCCGGGCCAGGTGGTCTGGTCTATTCTCTTACCTCTTCCTCACTCTGGGGTCCACTTCTGCCTGCCAGGAACAGTTTCAGAGCCCAGCTAGGAGCCCCTACCTCTCCCTGCTTATACCTTAACCCTTTCCTTACTCATTGGGATTATGAGTATTTCTGCCATAGAGAAGAATATGGAAAGGACACACTATAGATCACTACTTGGGTCTAGCAATGAGATATAAGAACCAAATCTGACTAAGGACCTATACAGGGATGTTTCTTGGGACAGCATCTGGGTAATTTTGCTCCTTGGTAGAAATGGAGAAGGAGAGGGAGAGAGACGCAGAAGATTCAGAAGAGGAAAATTCTTTTTCTGCCGACTCCTTTGTTTAGGATTTGTTTAAGATTGAGATATTACTGGGAATAAATAACATTTGGTAATGCAGAAGGTAAGCTGTCACTAAAATGGCAAACAATACTGATTCGCCATGTGGTGGAGCAGAAAGAATGAAAGAGACCCCTTGGAGGCATTGGTAAACTACCCATCGTCTAGACCACCTTCCTGAGAATTTGGGACAGAAGAGAGAAATGCTGATATTTCCAAGTCTCTTATTAGTTAGGCATTCTGTTACTTGCAGCTGATAAAGATTTTCTCATCATTTTTTCCCCAGTTCTTCGCCTTTTCTCTTCCTATCATATCTTTATATAGAACTTGTGATATCTCCTTTTTTAAGTTCTTTCTAGATTACTAATCCCAGGGAAATCATTCTGGAGAGGGGCCGGTACAGGTGCTAAATGACTGACAGGAGTCACCCATTGTTCACAGTAATGTTCCTCACAATTAGAACTTTGGGTGGGCAGGTATGTATGTGTGTGTGTGTACACACACGTGTGTGTGATACTAGGTCTCAACAGGGACTTATCCAAGATTTTCTATGTGTCAGGTGCTGTACTAATCACTTTTTTTTTTAAGTGAAAGAAGTTAATTAAGTGAAGAGACAGAAAAAGTTCTCAAGAGTGAGAGGGGTCCCAATAGGGTTGCCCAGGAGGGCCTTTAGGGTTAGTCTTTTATAAAAAGCTAACCAGGGACCTTAAATCCTTCTTAACATCTCTATTGATAACACCCCCAATGGCTTACTTCCTTTTTAGGGTCTGGTTTTCCTTTGTTGGTCACAGGTGATTATCATAAAGACACCCACCCACACACCTAGGGCACCCCACATGCCTTATCTCTGGTTTCCGCACACCTCCACGTTTTGGGGGTTTCTGTGTACTAATCACTTTAAATATATTAATTTATTTAATCCTCACAACAAGCTTATGAAGTATTGTTATTATCATTTTCATTTATGGACAAAGAAACACAGGGAATTTAAGTAACTTAGTCAAGGTCGTTCCTCTGGTAAGAACTGAGATCCAAACACTGCTTTGATGCTCTCGAGCCTTTGCATTGTAACTGCTTTGCAAAGACAGGAAGGAAAGTTCTACACACAAATCACAACCTTAACATACTAATATTGAAAAGACAAGGTGAATAAATGCGGTTTCCTGTGGACTACAACAAAAGTAGGACTTTATTTATGCAAAGGGATTGCCTTTACTGCAAACCTTTCCCAGCACGGTGCATTCATTCCCAGTCA